AGCAATTTAAACTTTACTTTCGAAGCTAACTTTATTTCGAGCATCTTAAGCGGTATACTTAATAAAAGCTTCGTCGTAGTTTTCGAATCGAACTTAAAGCTAAGACTAGATAAAGCGTTGAAAAGTTAAGTTAGCGACTTAGTTTTCGAAGTAATCAATTCGATTATAAATCGCATCAATTTGCAAATTAGAAAACTTTTTAATTATAAAACCTACTTTATTAATTCTTTTTTTTTTACTCGTAAACCGTAGTTCACGAGTGAACGGCACTACTATTAAAGCTTTCTTAGCAGACTTAAAAACGCTAGCTAGCTCGGTATATTCTTTAATTAAGGTCCGAATATTTTTAGTAAAGTTGGTTAAAAAAAACTTTTTTCGATTTATAACTTCGATAGTTTTAGCACTTTGGTCGGTCTTAAAAGCGAATGCAACGAAGTCGTCGAAAGCGGCATAAGAGTCTAGATCGAGTTCGTCGATTTTATAATGCTTAATCGTTTTATTTCGGATTCCGACGAGCAATCCGAGAAAGAACAAGCGGCTTTATTCGGTCTTGCTTAATAAGTGCATTAAAATAAGCCTTTCGAAGATTCGAAAAAAAGTACGGTAATAATTTTTTAAGTTATTAATATCCCGTTCTTGCATAGCAAATTCTCGCAAAAAGGCGATTAAGTCTTTGATCTGCTAAATATCGTTCTTACGAAACTCGGCTTTTAAAGTCTTAATAAAAGCAGCTTAATTTTTCTTAGCTTTTTATTCGAGCAAGCTCTTGATAACCTTTTTGCGAAGGTTATCGCAATAACGAAAAAGTTTAATAAATCGATCGTTTTTAAAAATATTAAAGTCATTATAAGTCTTTTCGTACTTTTCGATAAAATCGATAATATTAACACTATTAAAGCAAAAAGCTTTTAAAGCACTTAGCAATAGCATGCGAATAATTATAAAAGCGTAAAAGATAGCAAGGTCGACCATAATTAGCGCAAGGCCTAATAAAGGAGCAAGAGAAATAAAAGGAAGAAGAATGATATAGATTTTAAGATCGGTATTTATTTTAAAAAGCATTTCCGAAGCAAGTATTTCCGATAAAAATAAAGGTTTTAATTAAAAGTCGAAATAAAATAAAGATAATCCGAAGCTTATAAAAATACGATCAAGAGATTCAATAAATTCAAAGGATTTTAACGAAAAAGGAAGTGACTCGGCGCCGACTTCGATATTAGAAATCTTAAGAAGGTTTTCGATATTTTAAAGATTAAATATATATATATATTAAGAATGATCGGGTTGATAAAAGGTTTTTAAATTATTTGATTTTAACTCGTGAACCGAGTTTACGAATAAAATAAGCGATTTTCGCAAAGTATTTTCGATCCGAAATTAAAAAAAGTAAATCTTTTGCAAAAGTAAACTAATAAATAAAATCAAAACTATAAAAAACTTAAAAATCAATTAATTAGCTTCGCTAATAACTCCGGACTATATCAAATGCTTTAATTTAAGATAAGAGCTAAAGTATAAAAAAATATTTTTATTAATAAATGAAAATTTTTTTTTATTAATAATAAAAAAGAGTTTTTATCGAAGAGCCGAAATATTGCACTTCGGCCATTTCGGCATTTTAGTATCCGAACTTATCGGGAATAAAGTTTTAATTGTTTTGAAGTTGTAATTATAAAGTAAAGTGCTAAATAAACAAAGATCAACTTGACTGCGAATCAAGCGATTGTAATAAGCTATATAAGGACAAAGACTAAAGGTTTGAATCCTTGCGTAGGTCACTAATATAAAAACACTTAAAAAGATGTGCTATATAAAAGCCTAGCTTTAAGGCTAGACCTTATGGTCTTATAAAGAAGTGTCGGAAAAGGTGGGTGGAAAGCTCGTTGATTGTTTTAGCTAAAAGATGTGTGCCCTTTTATAGAAGATGGGTCCGTCTAGTATGGCCCTAATGGCCATAGCAGGTACCCCATCAGGCAAGGTGTTTACAATAGCTAAATCACGACGAATTCCGCGAATCGAGTTTAATTAAAGGTATTCTATAAGAAAGTTCGGATGTAGAATCAAATGCTAAGTCAATTAATTCTATTCAAAAAAATGCCGACTTTTCTCATATAATATAATTATCAAAATTCGTTGCGTTATGCATTTTTTTTGTATATAAAATGCTAGTATTTTCGATGTTCTGACCATTTGAAGTGGGACACTTGCTTGACCTAGGACACTTGCTTGTCTTGACTATGACCGAGAGCCCGCAGGTCATAAAGTCAGCGCACTAACTATTAATTAAATGAGTTTGAATATACGAATATACAAATATACAAATATACCAATATACAAATATACAAATACACAAATATACAAATATATAAATATATATTGACGAGCCACTCCCTTACAAAGGATTAAACGCTCAGTGGTGCACGAATGCCCGGTGGTGAACGAAGTCCTTGAATCCCCAATCTGCCCAATTAATAGCCACGTTCGATTCTTGAATCAGCCCCTCTTTTAAATGTCGGCAAGTGCTGCATAGCCGATGACTAACGGTACCCTTTTGCTGTTCCATGGCCATGCTTAAGCTCCATTGAAGAAGAGGCTCAAAGCTAGCAAGATCGCGACGATAGACTTTTTTTCCCCAAAAATCTCCCTGTTTCCCTAAAAATCAATAGTAATACTTAGCTTTCAAATCTTAAATGATAAATGAATATAAAAATTAAAGAAGCTTGAAATTATTATATATACATATATATAAGCGGATTGAATCTTACGATAACAATCTGTAACTCTCTAAATACTCGGTTTTGGCTCTCTTTTATCGTGAATTCGTAAAGGGGGGGCTAAGGAAAGGTGGCCCAGGCGGTCATCGACCTGACGAGAATTCGGAAACGACCTGATGGACTCGGAAACCTCGCGAAATATTTTCGAAAGCAACGGTATACGATTTGTAAGCTTCACCTTACTAGGTAACTTAGGTACAGAATATGCCCCAAGGCTTTAACGATACTTGGCTAGCTTTGAGCGCTGGAAATTGCAAGGTACATTACTGCAAAAACGTCTGTTTTTTGGCTAAATCCCTCAACTCCCTTACAGCCACGGGTCAAAAGGGGAAAGGGGTCAAAGCCCGGTCATTCACGATATCCCATTATCCACTAATCTTCCCAATTAATAACCCCTTCTGAATTTTCTATCAGGATACTTCTTGATTGATAGCATACGGCCATTAGATCCATCTCAGGGTCATTTAGCACTTCCACTGGAATAGCCACTTTCAGCTGCCACTCAGGGTTTCGCAGACATGTAAAGCGCAGCGCTTTCTCGGACTCTGATGATATCGAGTACCTGATGTGATCCACAATCACTTGGTCTCCTGCGGACCGTAAGTTTTTACTTCCATCCTACCATTCGGACCCGTTCTTTCATAATATTCCGCAAATGTAAATTCTGCCCAAATTGTCTATCCTCGTCCTCCTCGCTTTAACAGCACAATACCAGTGCCCTTGTTCATTCAACAAGTTCCTAAGATCGTTTGCTGATGAATTTATTAGCTCTGCGTAATGGGTAACGATTTATATAGATCGACTCACTTAATCTACAGCCAACTCCCATTTGAAAACGGGCCGAGAAAGGTCCTAATTTCGCTACCTCTATCCCTCTGTTTAATCTATCGATGCGGCTAGGCCTGTCTATAATTCGCGTAATTAGTATAAGCTTATAAAAATCAAGTGAAAATTACGTTCACAAGTGTCGGATTACAGAAGCCAATGTGGCAGTCAGGAATGGAAGGAACGCGAATGGCAGTAGCATGGCGGTAGCACGTGACGGTAGCACGTGCACCCACGGTTCCCATGAGTAACCGTCACAACTACTCATAGCAATACCAGACATTACCAACCCAGCAACCCAACCAATTGATACGAGACTAGTCTTACATCACAAACACCTGTGTTAGCAACATTGATCAGTGTAGTTGTGCGCCGCTCTTCAAGGTACTTCTGCGCGGATTCCGGACTCTCGAACTTTGCTTTCATTAGGGCTGTCATCCACCAGAATCCATACATTTTCCGTAGATGTCAATCATGTAATAGAAATGGGCATCATCCTTTAGCATTAATAAGAAGGCCACGGCTAGCTTATCTTATGTCATTGTTGTGTTCATAGTGCGTAATTTGAAAGCAGTTAAAATGAAGTCGGATTTTCCCGAAAATACTCGATATCATTAGTATTTTGCTTAATAACTTCACAGATATCAATCGCAATTTTTCTTTTTTTAATCTGATACACATACAGATCCCAATTGTTACTATTGTGTTAGTAAAAGTTTAGTTAGTTGATCAATGTTTGGTGGTTCAATACTCGAGATTTGAAAACGTTGGTACTACAATTATCTAGTTCTTGAAGCTATAACCCGTGCTTGATCAGACGTATAGTCTTAAAACAATAGATGAGTAAGCGAGCTGCTCGCAATTATTGTAATCTCCACGACCACCCGCTTTGTTTGCATCCATATTCAGATGCGCATCTTGTTCGGCTTCAGAAACGGATCCAACAATACCATCCTCACTCTCATCTTCATCTTCCCTCTTACGAGAAACCTTAATTGCCTCGAAAATTTTCTTCGTAGGTAGATCTCTTCTTTCGGATGGGTCTCGATTTGGAAGCGAGGACGCTCAGAATCGTATTCCGGGCTACCAAATACCCTCTTATAATGTAACTACTTTACAACATTTACTAGTTAATTATGTTATTCGGTTGCACAAGTGTTACTTAGATTACAGCGAAGATTTTGCAAAAAAAAAATCAAGTTGATAAGATAAGCGGTTGTTTTCACGACTTCAAAAGCAAGGGTGTACGATTTCTCAGCTTCACCTTGCTGTGTAACTTGGGTATAGAATATGCTCCAAGGCTTCAAGCGATACTCGACTAGCTTTCAGCGCTGGGAAATTGCAAGGTACATTAAGAATATCTATTTTTTTTTTCTTCTTTCTGGCTAAGTCCCTCTAGTTTTAACTTGTACCGACAATATGCTATACATGAGTTGTAATATACAATTATAATGTACAATTGACGAGCCACTCAAGCACCCACTTTAGTTTTTGGTACTGGACGCCCCTTGGCCGGCGCTCTCACGTTTCCAGGATGTCCTTTGATATTCCAAGCTGGCCAATCAACAACTTCCTTCGAATACTTCCACAGCTCCTCTGGCGTTGGAAAGCATTTGGCCCATAGATCCAAATCATCATTATTAACCACATCCATGGGGATATTCATCTGCAGAATCCATTCGATGTCTTTGACCCACGAGAAGCGCAGCGCTTTTTCGGGCTCTGATATCGACAGCTCTGTCCTGAGATACTCATGAAAGACTTCCTCTTTTTGCCCCCATAATTTGATTTGCTTGTTAGCAACGCCCGAAGGGTGTACTTGCGCACGATTACGAGTCGAAGGCTTCTTCACATAAGATGGCGGGATGTAGGCTTTCGGGACTCTCTTCGTCTTCCACTTTCTCGCTTTGATGGCACAAAACCAATCCCCTTCGAGATACGAATAGCCACTAGCTTTGTTTACTATTTGAAGTATTAGCTTCCGCCTATAGTAGGTAGCGATCTGAAGAGATCAACTCACCAATATAAAAACCAGGTCCCAATTGAGAAGTGTATTCGAAAGGCTCTACACGTAGCTTGTTTTTTTCATTAATCCTTGCAGCCTCTTTCTATAATCCGCGTGATTAGTATAAGCTTACACTACGTATGTGAATCAAGTGCAACTTACTGAGGAAACTACACCATAGCCGATGAGTATTTTTCTGCGCCAAAACCACGCTTGAGCTCCATTAAAGAAAAAGCTCAAGACTAGCAAGATCGCGAAGACGGACTTTGATCGTGCCATCGTATTTGTAGCCGACGAAAGGGAATAAAGAGTATTATGAATTAAATCTGAAGCGATGGATTGAATCTGAAGTGATGGATTGAAACTGAAGTGATGGATTGAAGCTGGAGCAGACGCAAGAAGAAATATATATCTCTTTTTCGAAGCGTACTCGTGATTTTCTCATTCGGCTATAAATAATCGTGCAGCTAACAATAATCAGAGCGCACTGACCATTATATTTATCTCTTTATTTTTATATGGAAACCCTTCTTAGATCACTCACTAACTAACTATTCATAGTATTGCAATCTTTTTTTGCGGCTTGTAGTAATATGTCGGGCTGGGTCGGAGTGGATCCGGTCCCTGAATGCCCAGCATATACAGTAACCTCTGTCCCCACATCGAAAATCGGCCCAAATATAGGGTCGAAAATAGGGTCGAATTTCCGAAATATACGCGTAGCCAACAATACTGAGCGTCACAGCCTCTTTCCCGGGGCTAAAAAGATCAACGCACGGGGACACACATGCCCGGGCCGCACGAGTACAGTACCGGTACCGCATAAAGCCTCTACAGTGTAAAGTGGCGCGCGGGGCGCAGCTTTGTTGACTACACAAGATCAAGGTAGGGCTGGAATATCTCGACGTGCAACAAAACTGCCGGCAACCTTGCCTTCTAGTTTTGAATCACGAGAATACTGCCTATACACAATTTTGCTCCAAGAAAAGTCCAGATTGCTGCTCTTTACGTACCCACTTCGGAGATTACTCCGGGAATTGGTTATCAGTCTGCGCGAGGTATCACGTGTATTTGCTTGGTTCGCTTCAGGTTACTCTCAAAGTCACGGGGAAGCGTTCTTTATTTACTTTCTCATCACGTACGAAGCAGACTTGAGGGCATGACGGCACGAGTCACTGTGGGAGGCAAGTATACAAGCAAAACGAGCACCTGGCCATTTTTATACGCGAAGACATCCTCCGACACCGTCACCTGGGATTGCTTACATTCGGGCTTCTAGGGTCGCCTACACTACCATTTCCAGATCCGCTTGAGGTGCTATCCTGGCGCTCATCCCCTGCATCCGACCCAATCACTTTACCCATTGCAGGATACGCCGAGTTTGTCTGTCCTTCGCTGCTTGACTGCGTGAAACCAGAGACGTTGCTCAACATACTAGAGCTGCGACCTCGAGTCCTATTCGGACGGGGCGAGTAAGCGGGCGGAGGAGGGGCGGACTGGGTTGGATAAGCCCATACGGAGGAGGTAGGGTTGGAGGTTGGATTCCAGAGCGAAGCATCGCCATTCATGGCACCACTTTCCCCATCAGGCACGAAAGTAGCGTGGTCGAGATTCTGCGAGCTCATAGCAGGACTGTAGTTTGGCTGAAAGGCGCCTCGCTGAAGCTGGGCATGGTCGACTTTTTGTTGAAGAGTCTGAATCGCTTCTCCCAGCGCTTTCAAAGCCTCATTTCCGTCGAAGATATGCCTAGAGATGGCGGCTTCACGAGAGGCATAGAAATCGGAATGCTCTTTTCGTTGCAGCCTCTTGGCCTCGCGCTCACGTTCCTTACGCTGTGCCTCATCCAGACCTTTTGCATTGGCATCTGTCAGACTTTCGTGCTTGCTGTGGAGATAACTGAGTCGGCCCTGCTTATGATCGCATTTCTGCTGAAGAGATGCCAAATCGCCCTTACGGTCCTCAACTTCGCGGTCCGCGGCTTGCTTTGCAGATTCAAAATCCGAACGAGCCAATTTGTGCTTGTCACGTTGGGACTGTATTTCGGCTTTTGCAGAGGAATGACGAGCACTATAGTCGGTGGGAACTGCCCGAAAACTTTCGATTTCAGACTCGAGTTCCCGGATCTTTTCTTCTGCCTGTCGCATGTTCAGGTTGAACTGCTGGATTTTCTGCCTCTGCTTATCGTCGCTGCCGCCTGTGCTTGTGAGACTAGCGTTCAGCTTGTCAATTTCCTTTTTAAGCAAACCAAGCTTGATCCGCTGTTCTCTGCGTCTTGCATTGAGAATCCCCTTTTGGTCTGCCAGCTTGGCTTTTTGAGTCCCAATGGAAGTTCTAAGGGTGGTTGTAGGCGAGCCAGGACGGCCCTGGATGTGAGAGCCAGGCGTGATACCACTTGACAGATCGGCAGTCGGGGACTGAAGAGTTCGAACACTGGCAGAAAATATCACAGAGTCATCTCGGGTGCTGTAGAAATCGCATTGATAGCTTGAAGTTGGGGCGAGCCCTACTATCACTCCATACCATTTGGTGCCCCGTCCTGGTGTTTGCTCGGTACCGGAGATGAATTTGATGCGAGTAGGCTGCCAGATTGTGTGATTGACCTTTACATAAAAAGGTTTCGATCTGTCAATACCGTACTGGTCTAGGCTCTTCCCGCCCTCTGATGTCTTGTGGACTGGGAAGAAGCTGGTGCTGAAAGATACCTCATCAGGCCCCACGGAGGTAATCCAGATTCGATCGGCTTCAGAATTGAAAGGCGCATTTCCTAAATCGTTTGTGCCTTTCGCATTTGCGCCTGCAGACTCAGATGCTGTATGTGATGTTTCGTACTCCTTGACCATAACAATCTTAGTGCTAGCTAAGGCTGCCCAGAGGGGCTGCCGTATGCGAACTTGTGCGCTTTGTTTCTTCTTCTTCTTCAGCGTGGTTGCTGGTGTCCCCACCACTGTCGAGGCCGAAGAATCGTTCTCTGGGGTCTGTGTCGCTATTGTTGAATCGCTACTGGCGTCCAGGGCTTTGCCAGCCTCTGGATCGCCAAATGATACCGAGTTGTCTCGTTTTTCTCTCCTCACGTACCAATCCCGAATGTAACGTACCACCCCCTGGGTAAGGATATGTATCGCTAAAATGCTTCGTATGAGGCCATGTCTCTTGTTTCCATGAATCGAGCGCGGCTCCAGTGGATCGTCAGGATCTGGCGACCCAAGGAATCCCTTCGAAGCCATGAGGGCTCTAAGCCCGAAGTGCTGGGTCGTGTTCCCCTGGAAATAATGCGAAATCCCGATAACACTAAAGCACCACAGCACGTTCTTCGTTCCTGCTCCTTTCCCACTCGTTCCGCCCCCTAAAGTCAATGCGATGACTGTCTGTGCTAAGTCCAGTGCAATATCCTGAAGGGGGCCCCATAAGAAGAGCCACACCATGAGAACAATGACGTCGATGAGGAAGATCGTGCCTACTGACGGTGTGCCCAACGTTCCCTGTAGAATATCGGTGAAGCTCAATCCGGAAGTGGCAGCAGTCGAGGGGGGTACGAAGGTCAACGTGGCGAAAAGAAGATGTATGATTGAGATAAAAGTTGGCGGGATCTGGAGGAGGACGATGAGAATGGCTAGAGTGTCCCAGAGCGGGCAGGACCATAGGACAGTGAGGGCGAAGGACAATGCATCATGGTGAACGGCAGGGTTTTTGGCAGCATTGACGTTGATCTGGCGGTGGTTCTCGATGGTGGCGGGGGATCCGGACGCGTTCTGGTACACATCAGACGCCGAATCTGAACATCCATCGACGGAGGCCTTCCTCGACATGTCCGCTACCATCTTGTGCTCTGCCATGCTGTCGCCGAGTACTGGGCGCCGCGCACTGCCGTTCGAAGGCGGAGGAGTTCCAGGCATTGGTGGAGTTGAAATGCCTTTCTTCTCGGGGGACTTTGCATGACCGTTGATATGACCATTGCTCTTCTGTCTCTGCACTTCCTTTCCCGGCCCTACAAGACCACTCTCATGCCGAGTATCCCGCTTATTCGCAGCGCCTGGCTGTCGCTTGCTTGTGGCCGGTCCACGAGGCATGCGACTATGCTGACCCAGAAGGACGTCCGAGTCAGCGGGAGGAGATGCTGATTTCAACCTCAGCTTCCTCCTCTTTCGTGGCGCCGGAGGGAGACTCAGTTGAGGGTCGTTATGATGGTCGTGGGAACTCGTAACGTCCTCATTCGGAAAAATGCTGTCGAGCCGTGAAGATGGTTCGAGGAGGGGGTTTGGAGGGGGGAGGGGGGGGGGTATAGTATGAAAGAAGGATGGGTTTTTGGAGGTATAGGGGGGATTAGGGAGGAGGGGGGGGGGGGAAGTTTGAAGGGTTTGGGGGGTTTTGCGTTGGGAATTTGGCGAAGTGGAGTCGTGACTCGTGAGAGAGAAACAGTGCTTGATTTTCGGTATGCTCTATTTTTCGCTAGAGGATTTTGGATTGGGCTTGCGGGTACTCTAGAGTACGGAGCAGCAGTGCACCATGCCGCGACTGAGTGACTGAGTGAGGTACGAGAAAGGGACGGGGTATGAGGGAAATAAGAACCTACTGTTGGCTCGAGTTACACGCTGTCACAATTCCCACGATGATGCGGACTCTGAGGAAAAAAGAATCGTGTGAATAATGCGAAAGTAAAGGCAGAGCAGGGTAGAGTAGAGCAGAGCAGATCGTCAGGGCAAAGTAGGGCAGGGCAGGGGGCATTTAGGACCGACGGGGATGCAGGAAGGAGAAATAACGGGGGTACTTAACATAACGAGGAAAAATCTGTCCCAAGTCTCTTGCGCTCGGGCTCCTCCTTCACTACAGCCGATCGATCATCTACCAGAGACTGACTGCGATACACCTCCACACTCTTTACACCATACACCATACCGGACAGGGCAACACAACACATGGCTGGCTTGTGCAGTTGTCCAGCAACACTCTCTCCTTACTCGTATGCAGAGCAGTATACCTTTTCCTGTTTGTCCGATACGTTAGCCGCCCGATATCAAAGCGAGGTCATACGACGGGAAGGGCACATCGGTAGATATCAAAAGATCGCTTCGGAATAGGTACACAAGAAGAAACGCTGCTCTATCGGAAGGGGTCCCGGACACGCGAGCAGTCGTGTTTGTGACGTACGGGGAAGTGCAATATCGGTGGCGCTTTGCAAGTTGCAGCAGGAGATTTATACCCTAAACGGTACAGCAATCCGTTGCTTGCCCAGTCCTTTCCTCGTAGCTACCGGTATACTTGAAAGGATCGTTATTTGAGACTGAAAACACGCAGAACATTTCCTCCTCCTGCAAGCCAATCAGTCTGATATTAAGAGCTGCACGAGTCAGTACCTCGAGGACGAGGGATCTCTGCATGAATATCCAGGATCCAAAAATAAGTCGCGCTCGATGAAATGAACCAAGAGCAGAGATCTCTTATATCATCAATTGAAGTATATAAAGGTTACCCTCCTTTGCGGTACAGAAGCTATCCATTCTGACCTTATTTCCTTCCCCAGCCAGCTCTTCCAAACAAGCTATTATAGCCACTGATCTCATTCCACGGACTGGGTAGGATTGAATAAAATATAGGTATGAGCAAATATATATATATATATATATATACATAGGTCATCGAAATCTTACATGGTTCAAGAAGCTAGCCAGGTAGGTACCTACCTACTCGAGAATTCTTTAAGTAGCGAGCGCTGCTGTCCCACTCTTACTTGTGAAAGAGTCTGAAGAAAAGGAATGGCCGATATCTACTCGTCGGAGTTGTGCGATGATTCCATCGCACGACCTCGCTGCTCTTTCTTCCACTCGTGGATCTCACCCGGGGATCTCACCCATGGATCTCACTCGTGGGTTGTCGACCCGATCTGAAGTTGATAAGGATGCGGACAGGATGTGGTTGGACAATACAGTCAAGTAATATATATCCCCGCAAGTGAGGACGGACAAGAAAAGAATAAAAGAATACAACCAGCGGTCGGCAGTTGGAAAGCCTTCATCCCTATGTGTGTGTGTGTGGGCGATGCTCTCGTTGGACCGCTAATATCGCATGTTTACTTTACTTACGTTTCTGTCACTTGTCAGCAGTTGACAGTTTTGTACAGCACAGCAGAGTAGGTACCGGTAGAGTAGTCCAAACCAGCGCAGCAGAGACGCAAGGACGACGATCCTCCTCTTCTGTTGGACGTACATGCTCGATAGGCTTTCTGACGTGGGATCTGGGTGCTTATTTTACCAGTTCGGTATCTTCCTCGCCTTGCCCAATTGCTGGCATCCTATCTGGCGTGCAGAAAGCAGAGCTGACGTCGCTTCACTCCCTGGCTGGTTCGCTGAAATCCATGCTCACGTGGCCAACAATTTTGTTTACTCCTCTTACCGCGCTTGGAGGCGCCGTAAATTATTTCTGGAATAATTTTGGAGACTAAAATTGTGGAGTCTGTGGTGGGTCAAAGAGATGCTCGGGGAAGATAATTGTAATCGTGAGCTTGACGATACCGACGCTTCACTAACGGCAATTCCAAGTCTTCGTTCGTACCACTCATCCGCTTGAGCTTTATTTCAATCAGCCATCTCACAAAACCGGTGACAACAAGACACGATTAGGTGAAATAAAATGAGGTAAACGGACGTATCAGGTAGCTGTAGAGATACAAGTAGCACGTGTTGGGTACTTTCTCTGGTTTGCAGCTGGCCTCTTAGCTTATCATCTTGGAGCAGCCATGAAGTTTGCAGATTATTGATGCAATCTCTGAGCATCGTCCTCCACTTGAATCTATTCCGAAACCAGATCATTACTGACGTAAAAGGTTGTATTGATTCTCCAGTTTCCAGTTCCCAGACCCAGGCCTGACTGAAGGTAAATAACCAGAAAGGATCACGAGTCCCCTAAGAACTCAATAGTACAAACTGGTTACCCGTGTAGTGGAGTGACTTCCTGCTCATCTCTGATCCCCATATAAAAGGCAATAGCTCCGGCCTGAAATATTGTTTGTGTATTAGGCCAGTACATAGACCAATCACTTGCCGCGAAGCTACGCTGTCTAGGGTGGATGGCTGAAGTAAATAAACAAGCATACTATGAAAAAATCTTCATAGTTAAGCATGTCTGCCCATCGCGGTCAGGATTCGATCCCATGGCTTTCTGATAATTGCATAGATTATTTCAAGGTTTTAAAACCATTCCCTTATCACAGATATCACGCTCCCTCCACCTCTTAGTTGAGCAGCTTTATCTAGATCCATCTACAAGGATACAAATTGATTCCTGATACAATTTTATCCAAATGCTAACATTTGAGGAGTATCCGGGTCGAGGTTGATGCCATAGCTGTGAAGTGAGTGGTTGAGAATCTGGTATTCGTTTGTTGTAATGAGCAGACAATATAAATTGCCTTATTGGATCCGATTAGCATAAAATCAACCACACGGTTGTTTGTATATATATAGAATACTCAGACTTCATGTCGTTGGATGCTGTTAAATAAGTATACAGCGCCCGAAATTACATGGTTTTCGCTCCTTCCGCTTTTCCACCTTGGCCCCTCATATGATCTGGTCTGACAGTGCATCTAGGATATCTGGACAACGACTTCAACTTTCAATTCTATCTCAGAAAATATGCTTTAAACTGTGTCGGTTCTGTCAGCCGGTCATGGTTCTGCGAAAGCTCGTGACATCGTTCCGCTTCCGGGGAGGCCGTTCAGCAGTGTCAGAGCTTCAAAGTACTTGATTTTTCAGGCATTACCATGGCACCCGAAAGAAGCAGAGCCTCAATATACCTAGCTGGGGAGAGCCAGAATCTCAGGGGCTTTTTAAGCATTGCATGTTGTTGTCTGATATGCGCTTGAGCTGGCGATGAGCCTAGCCAACTTCAAGTCCCAGCCGTAGGATAATTCAACATCATAGGATATGACCAGTATAGATTAGATGAGTGCATTCTTTTAATTCATAGCATCTTTTTTCCTATCATGCTCTCTTCTCAGATAATCAGGTTCGAAGTTCATAGTGCCGACTGAGCCGCCGCGCTCAACGCCATCTTCCAACATTTGCCACTGAGTACCATCTACCAAAAGTTGCAAAAACAGCCACCCGAAAGCTTTTGCTACCCAAATTCAAAGTAGCCCATTCGCGGACCGAATTGCTTATATCCTCGTGGAAACAAGTCAAGACAGCCATCATCTTCTGTTTACAGACTGTGACGAATCTCGCTTAAGCTAGCCGCATTCAGCGCCCCGATCTTCTTTGTCTACAAAGGTGAATTCGACCTCAAATTTCAAACATCAAAAACTTCGGCGAGATTCACTCAGTCTACTCTCCTGTGAACTGCGCACCGACCACAATATTAGCGTTGCTTTTAGCGTTACTTCCTTTCCTTTCCTTCGATTACTTCCTGATCACCTTCCAAACGTGAGGTCTGTCTTAATTCTTCTTCGTCGACACAACAACAGCAAACACTTCTCGCTGACTCTCAACCACAACAGTGCTCTTTGCGGCTTGATTATCGATCTCTTCTCAGTTCGGCCGAACCTCTGACCTCGATCTTTGTTTTCGATTCAACTCACCTCGATTCAACTTTGATTCCCCGACATCTCAATTCAATCCATGGCGCCTGTGCACCCCCTTAAAGTCTTCGCCCCTCCAGGCGAGACCGCAGCTTCATTGAGTTCCTCATCCGAGGGGAGCGACTCGAGTGAGATTAGTGATCTAGTTAATACTCCCAAAGTCTCTCCATCTTTCATGCGCATTGAGAAGAGCGGCGTCAGCTCACCTTCGACTCGCTCTGATCGCGCTCCCGCGCGTAAATCCGCACGCGTCGTCAAGCAAAGCGCTCACGCTCGCGAAGAGGTCATCGAGAGCAAGGCTACTAAGGCTACCAAGGCTTCCAAGCCCGTTTTCAATCCGGCTCTTGCTCGCAGAAAACTCGGTAACAAGTCCCACGAGGCTGAAGTTCAAGAACCTTCTTCTCTCACCAACCCAAAACACACATTGAAGTCCTCCAACGCACACCCAAAAATGGCCGCACCGCGCAAGATGAGTGACCATATCTCCATCTCGTCCGACTCGGACAGCGATACGCCAATGAAGGCACCAAGCAAGAGCGCGGCAAAGAAGCCATCGAGCAAGAGAGATGCTGCCTCCATGTCAAGCCATCAAGAGATGCCATCGTTCAAGAAGCCCAAGCTTCCTTCAAAGTCGCCAGCACTCAAGGATTTCGTTTACGAGGAGCCTCCGGTAAGCAAGCCTGCCATCAAGAAAGCCCCCAAGCATGCCAATGGCCACCTGCCAGCGTCTGAACTCAGAAATCTGTCATGCCTACCTCAAGATCTGCAACTAATGAAGTTATCTAGATCGTCAGCGACCGACTGGGCATGCCAGCAATGACCTCGTCCTCTGCCCTCACGCGCGGCGGCGACAATACGGCCACGAAACTCGCCGGAGTCCTTAACAAGAAAATCCGTAGGGAGGTCGTCGCACCGAGATCGTTCCAGGATATTTCAGAGCGCACTCCAACTCCGCCTCCTGGTCCAACCTACAGCCCCGAGGAGTTGAAAGATCGCAACGAGGTCACCACACTCTACTTTGCCTATGGCAAGAACCTTACCGAGAAATACATGGCCAAGAACTTCCCCGATTGCACGCTCCAATTGGTGGCGCTCGCCTACGTTCGAGACTACAAGTACACACTCAACTCCGCCGGTTACGTCAAGGCTGTCCGTACTGAGTGGAAGACCGAGGACAAGGATCCTGGACTCTATGGTTTGCTGGTAAGACTCCAAGGGATCATGTTATGTTGATTCTCGTTCAGTCTGGTACCGGGACACCGACAAAACCCTTCCGAAATATGCATATATGGCTAATACTGACTCCCTTGATCTAGTGGCGCATTCCGAACTTTGTTCGTAGATCTCTTGAGGCCAAGTTCGCCAAGCATAACATGAAGTTGGTTGAGGTCCCGGAGGTGCAAGCGATGGAGAGAGACCCCGACTATATGGGTGGTAACTGGAACGCGCCTTTGGTCAACCTTGTATGCAAAAGAACAAACCTTTCCCCGTGGCTTAGTTTCCCCCAGGAACTTGAGGAACCATCAAAAGCCTTATTGACCAAGAAACATACTGACTTCTCCGTGTCTCCAGGCTGGACCGCTGCCTGCGTGGATGGGTGTTGGCGAGGTCCACGAGGACGATCACAAGGGAATCAAGCTCATCAAGCAAAACCGATGGAAGTACATGAACCTAAACCTGGCGCTCATCGAGCTTCGCTCGCGTGCTGTTCCTAGTCCCTGGGTTGAGAATAACATCTATGGTCCCTTGATCGGCGCCCCCCAAAATCCTTTCGGTATGTCACGTAGCAGAACTATTCGTGACTTACGTTGTATCAGTACTGACCATGTCACAGAGTCCGGCTATTGGGGGATGATCAAACCAGAGAAGCAGAAGAAAGCGGATGCCGCTCCAGCCCCTGGTGACGTCTAGGTGGACAAGGCATTGAATTGAAACTTCGGAAACCTCTGGGTATCTCTGGCTGTCTGGGAATGGTAGTCAATTCTGGGGGAATATTGGTGTTCTGCTGCTTTTTATCAAGGTCTGGGGTTTGGATCGGTTGATACATGTGCATGAAAAGGCGTTAGCTCTGCATATACCACTGATCCTGCAATGGGACTTTCTAGAATTCAAGCACTTCAACACGTACAATGCCTTGCCCAACTGTGAAAGTGAGATTTTCTGTTTGTTGATACATCACCTATTCAAGCCATGCTATGCTACCTAGTACCGCCTCTTCAAAGTCTATTCGTTGAGGTACTCCACGCTGCTAAGAGGTATATTCAGACTACTTCGAGAAAGTCCTGATCATAACAGAGGCACCGCTCCACTCGCACCAACAAGACCTGCACTCCGTCCGCATTTCTCGCAACCAGACTCTTCTTTCGCCCCAGAACCTTTCCACGCCCCTCACCAATCATTCCCCTCCCAGCATAGAACAACCATGCTAACACTCCGCCGCAGGACTCCTTCCACGCCACCTGCGCCTCCAGAAACGCTCCAGAACGGCTCCAGTCACAGATACATACCCTCGCTCTTCCTCGAGCCCAACCGGCATCCGCCTCGAAACACACCCGAGAGAACATAACCAAGACATACAAGCCCGGAATAAGATTACCCATCCAACTGATATCCTCGCCGTCGATATGTATGTGAGGTGGCTTCTCTACATACCCTCCTCCTCCGCTCTCCGCCACCCCTGTCTAGCTAGACGCTTCCCACTCTGACGCAAAGTTCTCGATACCGAGCCAGCCCCTCGAGGAGCTGGTGGAGACTAGTGAGTATGCCAGGAAAGCCGTTACTGCCTGATGTCCAGCATAGCCGGCACAGGGACGGCACGGTAACGCACCCCGCCTTCAGTCTGCAGGTACCGACCTATTTCGAATATGCATGAGCCTTGGAACAAGTAAGCAAGCAACGTCCCTTCTCTTTATTTCCCTTCGCTCATAAAACACAAACTGTTCTCCAGACCCACTCTCTGGCAACGCAGAGGGGGAGACGTCGTGTGCCGTAGCCGCGGGCTGGAATAGAATCATGAGGGTAGTAGATAAATGGTCCTGGGGGAGGACGGGGAACCGCGGTCATGGAGGAGCCCTGCGAATTCCGAGGTATGTTGTTGTTTACTTGCCTACTGAGACTGCGGCGACAGTGTCTACGGACGGGACGGGAGGTCGAGCCTGTGTTGATAGGTTCCGGTTTGGAGGATGGAGAGACGGTATTTCGCGGTTGCTGGGTTGTGTCAGGTATGTTACTTGCCGTACTGTGAGCGTGAGGGAGTAAGGATACAGTTGTGTGCTAATCAAGGAACTTCTCGTACCTAATGCCTGGGGCACTCTTGAAAACGGTAAATTCGATGCGGCTTCCGAATTTGGGGTTTGATGCTTTGGAGGGAGGTGGGTCGGTCTTTCTCGGTGATACGCTGATACGAGGACAGTTGGGATTATCACGACTTGTTTCGCTGCGTGCAACTAAATGTTGTCTATACTGCGGGTTGCGAAATCTCATCTATTCACGCGCCGGGACCTCTCAGCATATAGTCTCTAGAGAGGTGCAAGCATTTCCGGCTTCACCTAGGCGAACCCTAATACATGATGATATCTATAAAAAAATCTGTCCAGCCGCACCTCGATTCTCGGGTATCTCAGAGGATGTAAGCTATATGTACAGAGTCTAAATGAGTACGTATAATGAACAGATCATGCTCGGCCCCAAAATCATTGAGCACCAGAAGCAGACATTGTTAAAAATATGCCTGCCCCTGACCCATTTCGTCCGTTGGAGCACCACGATTGGAAGTTGGCTCATCTGAGCTATGAAGCCGTAGCCACGGATCTTTTTGGTGATGCAGCCCAAGACAATCTCGTGGCCGATGGCGCTGATGAGGAAGGTAATGAGCGTAGCCATCTTTCTCCCAATGTGCGGGCGAGAAGCGCTGTAGACATGGCGACGAAAGAAATGGTGTACTGGAATGTTCCACTCGCGACTGAATTCCAGCCAGTCAGTGGAGTTCCACCAGTCTGAATAGAAGTGCCTGTCGGCAAAGCCTGAGGTTGTCAGCTTGTTGATAGCGAGCCCTCAGCCAGTAAAACTTACAAGTTAATTCGGCGAAAGCCCCGAGAACATACTCGAAAATGACCAGAAACACCAGCAGAAAGGTGACCATAAAGGGGAAAAGGAGCATTGAGATCGTCTCGGCCAGGATTAGTGCTGTCTCGGAAAATGATGTTACAGACTCGAGACGAATGGCTGACTCGGTCAGCACCGGAAGAATGAACTCTTCGGATGTGATTGTCAGCAAGAAGATAACACCAAAGATAGCCCAGATTTTGTATCCCAGCTGTGACCAACGTATTTTATCTGTTCGGGGGTACTCTAACTCGTAACAAAGAGTAGGGCAGAAGATGTAGTCGGCATAATTCCCCCACGTCAAGTTCTTGGGATAGGTGACTGATCCAAGAGGTGACGTTAGCTCTATGGCCAGATCTTCTCGCAGACTGGCAAGTTCTGACTTCTCATCCGCAGCTTGTTTCAGTCTATCTTCGGAGGTTGGGGTACGTCCAACGCTTGGGTATTGATAGGCCGGGGCCTTCGAAGCGGTGGATGGCTCGTCGAGAGCTTGCAACCTTTTCTCCGTCTCGCTTAAATGGCCGTTGTAAAAGGCATACGAGTGCATTTTCATGAGAAGAACGAAGGTATGAAGTGTCAGAAACACCTGCGCAGTCCAAGTCCATTCACGAATGAAAGGTACGCTGCTCGAACATTAATAATTAGGATTCTGATTAATTGTTTTATATGCTCACCTGACCCAGAACGTAAACCATATTGTCTGTAGAAAGCTCTGGACTCCATCAAAGTTAGCTTTTATGTCTAGTAATTCTTAGGGATCTGGATTTGTGTCTGAGGATCTCCGGCTCCGAGGAGATGTCTAAGGAGCCACGAAATTCCCAGAAGATTGGTGGAACTGGGTCGTAAATTGTACGTACGAGCCATTCCACCTCTCGACCATCTAAGCCCGAGCAGCTGCCCGGTCCGACTTTTGAACAACTTGTGTAGAGGCAAGCTCACGGCCGTAGTCAAGACCATCAAAGCATCCGCCAAGGCAAGCTCCCAGACCTTTACAGTAAAGAGCTGCCAGATCTTGACTCTCATAGGGTAGCCTGTGTCCTTGATGTTCCGCAGCATAGTCGTCGTAGCCATGATAGTGAGAGCGATCCAGAAAAGTATGTAAAAACCCTTGAAGTCTCGATAGTCGCTGTTCGGGTCAAAATGGGAAACTCGGGAGGTATAGTCGATGCTGGGGAACAGCCGACGCCGCTGTTGCGCTCTGAGCTGTTTCCGCGCAGAAGATATGGATTGTGCAGATGGGGGAGCATCCGGAGGAACCGGAGTAGATCGTCCACTATGACTGTCAGATCCTGAAGAAGGTATATTGAAGAGGCGAAGAAGGTGTACCTGGTTTGTCCGGACAGCATGGGATTCTGCGCATTGTCCCCTCCATTCGATGGTTGCAGCGGAAGCTGCTCATGGCTCATGGCCCGGAGAACTGCTGGATTGCTCGGCTTGATTGCCCTGGGACGAAGAATCCGTTCTTGATCCGCTTGACCGGTGCCATTGATCTGGATGTCCGCAGACGTGGACATCTTGGCGCCAGTGGTGTGAACGTCGTTGAGGCTTGGGGTTTTAGGATCTGGAACTGAACGATGGATGGCTGCGACACAATCTCCAAGATCTTGCTAACGACTTCGCAGATTCGAGGCTGCGGTATGGTAACCTTTGAATATGAAGATAGGTATGTTGGAGAGGAAGGGAACTCTGCCAGGAATTTTCATGCTCTGGTGCGACAAGAAAGCTTTATATGAATGAGTGCCCAAGGTTCCGGCATTGATATTCATAAAGTATATATATCCGTCCGTATATGCATCAAAGCATGCACTGTACGGGGTACGATTGATATGATGCGAGCGAAACATTAATGCAGAAAGAAATACGAAGTGGAAAACACGACCTAGGCTTCATGTTTAATGTCGGAATAGTTGAAGGTATCAATACCATACTCTCTGCACCATAAGTGAAGCTGAAGCTATCCGGCCGTATGTTGTTGATATGGAGCGGGTCATGCCAAGGCGGCTGAGAGCCTCTCCAGGGACGGGGACTCTAATGAGGCACAACGTCAACAGCCCGCCATCCATGACACCGTATACGTACGGAGGAACTCCCTCGCCTAACAATTTCTCTCCAGCCTTTCCCAGCTCAATCCAACCTGCACACCACTGCGGAAACAACACAACCCCAGCTTCGGAGCCGTCCAGCCCGACACCTCGATATCACAACATCCCACCAACTACGCGATTTGGCAGCAGCCCATCGTCTGGCCCATCGCGGGGCCATAGACCGCCAGCATGAGCTCCTGTAGGCAAGACTAGCCCTCTGTAAGACGTCTCGCTGATTTTTTTGCAGTGAAGCAATTCATTCGAAATGTGCGAGCCTCGAAGACTATTGCCGACGAGCGAGCTGTTGTCCAGAAAGAGAGCGCCGCAATAAGAGCAAGCTTTAGAGAGGAGAGCGGAGATTCTAACGTCAGGTAGGCGGGCCCTTGACGCACGATATGGGGTGAAGCAGCAACTGATGCCTCTGCAGACGGAATAATGTGGCCAAGCTGTTGTATCTCTTCACACTCGGCGAGCGCACACATTTCGGGCAGATAGAATGCCTCAAGCTTCTAGCCTCACCTCGATTCGCGGACAAGCGTTTGGGCTACCTGGGTACGATGCTGCTGCTCGACGAGAACCAGGAAGTTCTGACGCTGGTGACCAACTCTCTGAAAAAGTACGCAATCAAAATGGGCTATGAGAGGTATAAGTTGCTAACAGCCTATATAGTGACCTGAACCACTCCAACCAATACATTGTTGGACTTGCCCTCTGCACCCTTGGAAACATTGCTTCCGTTGAAATGTCCAGAGATCTCTTCCCCGAAATCGAAACCCTTCTCTCAACTGCGAACCCGTACATTCGGCGGAAGGCTGCACTTTGTGCTATGCGGATATGTAGAAAGGTGCCAGATTTACAGGAGCACTTCCTTGAGAAGGCGGCGTCACTCCTGTCGGACCGAAACCATGGTGTTCTGCTGTGCGGATTGACATTAGTCACAAGTCTCTGCGAGGCCGATGAAGCTGAAGGAGGCGAGGAGGGCATCGTCGAGAAATTCAGGCCGTTCAGTGGAGGTCTGGTCCGAACATTGAAGGCTCTCTCCAGCTCTGGTTACGCTCCAGAACACGATGTTACCGGAATCACGGATCCATTTCTCCAAGTCAAAATACTTCAATTATTGCGGGTTCTAGGTCGTGGCGACGCGCAGACGAGCGAGCAGATTAACGACATTTTGGCCCAGGTCGCTACCAATACCGATTCCTCGAAGAACGTGGGAAATTCCATTCTCTACGAAGCTGTGCTTACCATTCTAGACATTGAGGCAGATTCTGGACTGAGAGTTCTTGGCGTCAACATTCTCGGTAAATTTCTCTCGAACCGAGACAACAATATTCGCTATGTTGCACTGAATACACTCATCAAAGTTGTTGCAGTTGAGCCGAACGCTGTCCAGAGACATCGAAACACCATCCTTGAATGTTTGCGAGACCCAGACATCAGTATCAGGAGGCGAGCTCTAGATCTGAGCTTTACGCTTATCAACGAGAGTAATGTGCGACTGTTGATCCGGGAACTGCTTGCTTTCTTGGAAGTCGCAGACAATGAGTTCAAGCCAATTATGACCAGTCAGATCGGTGTGGCAGCTGATAGGTTTTCTCCAAACAAGCGATGGCACGTCGATACGATGTTGAGAGTATTATCACTGGCTGGTAACTACGTCAAAGAGCAAATCCTTTCATCTTTTATCCGACTAATAGCAACAACTCCTGAATTACAGACCTACGCAGTACAGAAGCTGTATACTGGGTTGAAGAAGGACATCACCCAGGAGAGTCTGACTCTCGCCGGTGCATGGTGTATCGGAGAATACGGCGATGCCTTGTTGAGAGGGGGCCAATATGAAGAGGAGGAATTGGTACAGGAAGTAAAACAGAGCGAGGTTGTCGATTTGTTCTCGACTATCCTGAACAGCAGCTATGCCACACAGATCACTACAGAGTACATCATCACATCTTTGATGAAGCTGACGACCCGCTTCACGGACCCGGCCCAGATTGACAGGATACGACGCATTCTGCAGAGCAATTCTGCAAGTCTGGATGTCGAGGTGCAACAACGAGCCGTCGAATACGGAAACTTGTTCGGCTATGATGCGATCCGAAAGGGGGTTCTAGAGAAAATGCCACCACCACAGATCAAGGAGGAATCGAGAGTGTTAGGTGAAGCTACGAAAAAGCAGAGTAAAGCCTCCAACAGGAAATCAAAGGTCGTCAAACCTGCGGAACAGGACTTGTTATTTGATCTGATGGGTGATGGTGGCATGCCTGCTGCAGATATGGGGACTAACGGGTCTCAAAATAATGCAGACTTACTTGCAGATATCCTTGGCGGCAGTAACTCGCCTGCAGCAACATCGCCTACGCCTCAAAAAACCAACATGAATTCGATCATGGATCTGTTCGATAACTCAGGCCCAGCACAACCTCCAGCAAGCTCAGCAGCGCCATCAAACGACCTCTTCTCTGGGATGTCGTCTCCGCCGCCGCAAGCATCTCCTGCGAGTATTCCAGCCCATCCTTGCTACGACAAGAACGACTTGAACATTACATTACAGTTGCAACGGAATTCAGAGGGTTCAATATTGGTGATGGCACGTTTTAGAAATGGCTCCATGCATCAAGCAATCTCGACTGTCGCTTTGCAGGCAGCAGTACCGAAGACTCAGAAGCTGCAACTGAATGCGATGTCGAATGCTGAACTGGGGCCGGGCTCAGAGGCGACACAGACCATGAAGATCACTGGTAGCAAAGGAGTAAGTGTTTATCCTCTCGCAGATGGAATATTATCTGACTATGTTAGCCTTCGCTCCGCTTGCGTTTGAAGATATCCTATTCACATCCGTCCTCAGGCCCGGTTACGGATCAGGTTGATTGGTCAGAACCTAGATGATTTCCCGTGCTAGTTTAGCGATAAATGCATTACATGAAGATTTATATTAGTTCACTCGTTAGGCTCATTAATGCGGCTAACATTCGTCCAGCAACCTTAAAATAGCCACGCCGACCCGTGATAGTGGTTAGTACGTACGTGAACCGATGTTTCCCAAGTCTAGTCGCATGTCTAACGCTCTTAAACGTTAGCCTAGTGCATAGAACTTGGTCACGACTTCTTCACCGGACCAAGTAATGATAGACTACAGACCTAGACACTTAGGTAGGTCGCACTCAACAATTTAGATTTCTCCTCCGTGCGGAACACAGCCCTTACTACCTAGATCAGCGCTATCTACATTAACATTTCTCTTCGGCATACATATATACATACACACACACACACACACACACACACATACATATATATCTTTACCAAAGCGTTCCCTCACTACACATCAATACTGTATTATCTTTCTCTCCTGTTCCTCCCCCTCCTCGGCCTGTTGCGAAGATTCTCACAGTGCCAGCATGCATTACTCTGTATTGCTGCTGGGCCTCGTAGCCACAGCAGCCACTTTGCCGCTCGCTGTCAGAGACACGCCTGGGTCAACCGTCACTCCGAACATCACCTGGGCCGACGTCGCGGGAATCTGCCGCAACCATGATAGCCAAGGCGGAGAGTGCAAATCGCCAGTAGTATCCGGCTTTGACGATCCGGACGAAACACTCATCGAAGATATGGAATACTTCAGGTTCTCCACCGCCAACATTGAAGAGTCCCGAGTCGATGACTGGTACTGGGCCTGGGCACTTAGCAGGCAGAGTAGTACCGAATGGACTGAGAATGGAGAGTGGAACTTGTTTGTCATGGATTTTCTCCATGACGCAAATTTCCAGTGCGACTGGGCATATCCTTCATGTACTCCGCTGTCCCGGGTCGTCCTCCAAAAAATGTACCCTACCAACAGACCGCTTGTTCGCAGAATTCACTTTACGCTTGTTCGTTACCAGAAGGCACACGACTACGTGTTAGCCATCGATGTAGGTGCACCCTCTCAATTCCTTGCTTACAGTCTTTTCGTCCTGCAATTCCGAAGCCCGACGATATTGATCAAAAGACTCAATCTGCCTGAAATGTTACTGACCAGCTACTAGGGTGCAATGATGCGCGCTCAACACACAGTCGTTGGTTTAATACCTCAAATTGTCTCTACCTTCACACTACAAGTTAATGCGGCGAAGGCGCTGAAATGTGAACAATTACATACCCTCGTCTATCAAATCGTTCAGACCGGAATCATGATTGCTGCGACTATTGGGGGAGGCTTCATTGTAGCTGGAGTAAATGCTGTGACCCAGGCAGTAGCTGATGCGGAAAGAAATCTGAACCAGTTTACCAGGACTCTGGTGGCTGGTGCTGAGCTCACGGCAGAACAAAGAGTAGAACAAAGACAACTACAGAATGTTCTCGACACCGCAAAACACAACCTTGCGAAGGTATCTTGGGTCAGTCCAGTGGTGAATAAAAAGCCAGAGGTCAAATTTGCCTGGTATAATATCCCGGTGAACATGATAGGACCATGGGGGGGTATAGCATACGCCGATATGAGGAAGGCTATGAATCAACACTATCAATCTATTGGACCGGGAATAGCACATGGTATATTGTGCTCCGCCTTTGAAGGTGATTTCCAGGATCGAAGCGCTGCGAATCGGGACGAATTAACCTATCGGATCAGTGCCATGTTCAACTCGGATCGGAAGCAGAGACAGCTCTGGTTCAGGGATATTCTGCGAGGGAACGTTTCAGTGCCTGGCCAGCCGTCGCCTACGTCTATTTGGTTCAAAAGTCGAGCTTGGGCTGGTCCAGGATCCGTATCCGAAGAGATGACAGATATCACCAAGCTGGAAGAGTAAGTCGCATCATCAGCCCGGATAGAGATCATATTGATAGCCTTTTAGATCTTCAACGACCGCGATAGTCAAAGCACTCATTTCAGACATTCTGATCAATGATTTCAACTACATCAAGTGCGGTTACAAGGAAGACGCGCCCAAACATTGTGCGAAGGCGAAGAACGCGTCAAAAGGACAGGACATCTCCGTTTTTTGTCCTTTCCCTGACGCAGATCCGCAGCTCATGTGCGACTCGAGGAGGTGGTATTTCTCCGACCATGCACCGCACGATATCCCCATGGTAGCCTCCCATGGCAAGAAGATAGAGAATTTCGCCTCTGGTATTTACAACTTCACTCAAGAAATGCTCTTGCAGGAGTCGTTCAAGAACTATGGGCTATACGGACATTCGAGTCATGACGACTTTTCCATGTGGGGGCGCGAAAATTCGACAAGCCAAGGTGTTGGGTTCAGGATCCCGGTATGTGTAACAGACAAGCCGCATTTTTTCGAAGCCCTAGGCTATCCTGCCATCTGTGGAGACTGGCGGTCCGAAGAGACACTACCATTCATCGAAGCAATGCATGCTGGTGTAGACTCCACGATTTACCAATACAGGAGCCAGGGAGTCCCCCAGTCCCTCTATACCGAAATCATTCCCAAGGTACGTCAACTATCTGCTACAGTATATCTGTGACTCTCACTAACAGGCATACAGATTCTAGCCGACTTTTCGCCACTCACCCGCTACCTCGCTTTTTGCGACAATGGAATCAGATTCCCCGGACCAAAAGAGAAAACGGGCCCAATTACGAATTGGAAGAAGATCCAGCAAGGCAGAGATAGTGACTGCACCCTGATCCGAAAAGGCGTCGCAGGTATAGACACCGAGGAGGAGGCCAATCGATGGTTCTGTACCAATCAAGGTGGTCACACGATCTTCAAACGGGAGAAAGATCATATCGATTCTCCTCACCTCAAGATCTCTCTCCGGAACCATGCTCACAAATGCAAAAATTGGCTTAAAAAGCACGGTCATTCTGCGAAGGACTGACAGAAGTGGTGCACCATGGCAAATTTACATTGACTCTCACAGCTCAACGCACTTCCGCTGATACACGCTTCCAGACTTTGGACGTGTCGTCCTTGCCCTCTACATCGGTTTTATGGGGAGGTCATTGGCGCCCAATACTCGTTCGTGGAGTAAAGCAAGCAGTATGATGGCCACCATAACATTCAACTCTGTAGCGGAGGTCTAGTCGAGCAGGAGAAGAAAAGCCGTGGAGGGCGAGGAACAGTTTTGTCTTGTACGTGTCTCTGTCGTTACATTATAAAGTTCGGCGTCCTCTTTTCCACTCAAATTTTCGAGGACTATAGCCTCGAAGATGGATTCTTACGGGTCGGTGGCTGCCTCACCAGTTGCGCCGGCTCTTGGTGCCGAGTCCAAATGGACCAATTCTTGGCAAACACTCAGATGAGCATATAGAGTGATCATCGTGCACCAAGCATGTTGGTCTTGCTACATGCCTAGTGGCTCCGCAGCAGTCTCTAGCTCCTCCTGCTATTCTCTGAAGAGTCCGCTTCTTTGATTTCCCAGAATCAAATATCATGCCAGTGTAAAACAGAGCTCTTGACTTTTTTCTCATTTGCTTGTCGGATTTGATATTGTGTTGGCTGTCGATAACGTCTCCGGAGATCTGCCTTGGAAACTGGGACTCCTTTAGTGGCTTTCTATACCCATCATAAGCGCGCGTATTCGAGTACGAGTGCTCTTCTGTGGGAAATCATTCATGATCCGACCCAAACTTCTGTCTATTAGCTTGGCTCTCATGTTGGCTTCTTCCAAGAAAAATCTGATCGCAGCATAGCAGGAGGTGATTGATATCTTCAGGTAGCATGCCCGGAGGATTCGGTAGTACTACCTGACTGACAGGCGAACCAAGAGGCGAGCAGGGTCAGCTGTGAGGTGTCATTCCACGAATCTGGGAAGCCTTCAGAGGTTGTGGACTGGGTGACAAAGTGAAGCTCTGCGGTTGCGTGCATAAGCGTGGGAAGCGTGCAATGAAGCCATGCGCTCACCACGAGGTACAGTTTCTCGGTTAGAGAGAGAAACTTGGGCAGGGTGGGTCATCGCAACAAAACAAAAATATCGACGGCCTTTTTTCTTCATCAAATTCTCAACCGCATCCGTTTCAATTTTCTTTTTCCAGCTCCTGGGGCGAATAACAAGCTCTGCGGCTCGAAATGTTGTTCTTCTTTTCGTATGCTTTCGCCGCTTTGGTTGGAGCTGCTCTTGCGTTTTCTGATACCGGGAGCCCATTGTGGACAATTGGTCGCTCAGTCACGACTTCGAGCGGGCGAGTAGAAGGACACAGCGCAGCAAATGCCCCGTTTGTCTCAGAGTATCTCGGCATCCCATACGTATGCTGCCTCTCTCGCCTTCGGACATTCTGGCTGACTGAAAAGGCCATCCCTCCAGTTGGTGACTTGCGTTGGGCCGCACCAAGGCCATTCAGAGCTTTCAAGAATTCATATGTCAATGGCACTTCTTTTGTGAGCACTGTAAATACCACGCGACAGAGTCCATCCAAAGCTGACCTCATAGGGATACTCCTGTCCATCAATTGGAGGTGCAACGTTCCAGGCTGTGCTGTCTTATACCGGAAATCTCAACCTCACAGTACCGGCGATCCAGGTCTTGGATTCGATGATCGGGCAGTCGGAAGACATATTTAGTGAGGACTGCCTCACACTCAACATTTGGACTAAGCCACAGACTGGAGAGCGGAAGAAGGCGGTCATGCTCTACCTTCACGGTGGAGCCTTTACCACTGGTACCTCCAACATTCGAGCATACAATGGTCAGCACCTGGCGGACACTGAGGATATTGTCGTGGTCACTATCAATTACCGTCTCAATATCTTCGGCTTTCCGGGAGCTTTAAATGCGAGGAACAATCTTGGATTACTGGATCAGCGAATTGCGCTGGAGTGGACTAGAGACAACATTCGCGCTTTCGGTGGCGATCCAGATCGTATCACGGTGGTAGGCGAATCAGCAGGTGCAAGTTCGGTCGACTTCTACTCTTTCGCCTGGACTCGGGATCCCATCGCGGCAGGATTCATAGCGCAATCTGGAACTGCAAACGTCGCCGTCTCTGCCAGAACCTCCACCGAACTGTGGTACTCGGCTGTAAGCGAGCTCAACTGCGGCAATGTGACTTCGAATCCCGATGTGGTTCTCTCCTGTATGCGGTCCAGAGACCAGACGACTATCCTCAGGGTCGTCGCAGCACTACCGGATTTTGGCCCGGCCGTCGACAACATAACGGTATTTGCAGACAATTTTGCTCGCGCTTCTGCTGGCAATTTTATCCAAAAGCCATACCTCATCGGCATCAACGACAACGAGGTCGGCTTCTTTCGTATTTTGTACGAGGCAGCCGGGTACGTTCACTCAGAAGGATGGTGGGTGCTTAAAGGCCAGAGTGCCTTCAACTGTGGAGCTGCGCAGCGATCGAAGTTCTCCGCTGCCAAAGTCCCGACGTGGCGGTACCGCTACTTTGGAGACTTCCCCAACCTGTCTCTATCTCCGGCTTCGGGAGCATGGCATGGATCGGAGGTCCCCATGATTTTTGGCACGGACCTCGAGATCCAAAACTACACAGCACGTACTGCCTCTCAATCCATAACGGCCAGTTATATCCGAAGTGCTTGGTCTGCGTTCGTGAAAGACCCAGAGGCTGGGCTGACCAAGCAAGTATACCTCTCGTTGGTAAAAACCATCTCAAGCTAACTAGACTATAGCTATGGCTGGCCTCGGTACAATGCAGATACAGCAACGCTTGTCATGTTGGCATACAATGATAACGGAACGGGAACTAGCTTCAGCCTACCTGCTGACTACGACTTCCTCTGCCCGTGGGTCTTCCCGCTGGGACGAATGCTTCTGTCCAACTCGTCACAATCTGCAGTTGATATGCTGGCCGAGTTTACGAAGGCGATGGCGGGGGAGGTGCTGGGTCTGTTTGCTGTCTAAGGGCTGTTTGATAATGCTGTAAGATATCACTCCGTACATAGCGTATCTATGGTGTACACTTGTCAGTATATTGGGACTTTGTAATCAAGATTGTGTTAGCTTTGGCGAACAGGTGATCTCGTATCCAGGTACCATTCAAGAAGCAGAACCGGCTGTAACTATAACCTGAACTAGGTTTGTAATTACTATTAGCTGTCCCTACTTAGCAGATCGTTCGAGCTTGAACCCATTACGGCAAGCCAAGGGCAAGATAGACAATAAATAGCCGTTCTGCATATCTCTATATATACCTAGCTTAAGCAAAGATAACTAAGGGCCGTGCTCCATCGACTGGAAGATAAACCAGGCCTAAGGCAATAAGTAATAGGATGCCGGGGAAGGAGTAAGATCAGAAAGAGCCCAAGTCGTTTACTAAAGCGGGAACTAGCATCAGGATTCGGTGCCAAAACTCCCTTCGTTAAGAACATCATAATACGCAGCCTTTAATAACAAAGCGTTGTTATTGTAAATAGGCAGGATATTCTATGTAGTCACGTTGACGCTTGAAGCCGCTATGTTCGTTAAGTGAGAAAATGGCCAAGTCAACTAATAGTGGGCCTTGACGTCGCAACTTTTGGGGCCCTTCCTACCAGTGAGCAGTCCCTGCTCGGGAACGGGGCCCATGCCACTCCACCTTTGTAACCAAGTCACCGAGCTCTCGGCAGCCCCAAATGTTACAACTACTTTATTCCTCAATAGATAGATGATTTTATGATCTCCTACGCATCACTATCCAGATGACGACCCTTCAGCCCCGGGCCCCCTACTCCCAGGAGGAGCTACAGAAGCTCTATCCAAAGGGCCTAGAGCTTCAACTCGTCCAAGTGTTGTTACGGCATGGTGAGCGGTCTCCCGTCTCGGCTCGTTTTCAAAATACCGGTCTAAATGGCTTCTGGCCATATTGCTCTGTTGCACGGCAGATGATCAGCACAACCTGGGACTCGGCCGAGCAAAAATGGACGCCAATGCAATGGCGAAGACGCCTTGAGACCTTCGGCACTGATGACGGTCCCATGGTTGCATCTGGGCCGCGAGGAGAAGTAGATGCGGTCTGTAACTTGGGAGAATTGACGGACAAGGGCAGGGAGACGACGTGGGAACTTGGTCGAAGACTGCGGCACCTGTATATTGATCAATTGCATTTCATGCCGCCTATAATCCACGATGCAGACATGTAAGGCGCCGGGGAACCATATTCATTTTATTGGCCCTTCAAGCCTACCCGGGACAAGATCTGATTCCAAGATATTGTCGAGCACTTTCCCTGAAGCATCATCCAAATAATCGCTGACGTCCCCATTTCCAGGATTTACCTGCGAGCAACGCCTATTCCCCGAGCACTGGATTCACTTCAACAGACCTTCTGGGGCATGTATCCCTCGAAAGCTCGAGCACCTTCTTTTCCACCAGTTACAATAATCATGCGAGCCCCTGCGGATGAAACATTGTTCCCGAACGATGGTAATTGCAGACGGTTTGCACAACTGTCGAGGGCTTTCGCACAAAGAACGGCAGATCGACATAACAGTACGGATGACATGGAGTATCTCAATAGATTAATAAGTAAGTGGATGCCGGAGAGCAGTAAGCGAGTTGCGGTCGACTCTCATCCTAGGCTCAGTGGAATTATGGACACGATCAACTCTACTCTAGCCCATGGGCCAGAAACCCGGCTTCCCAAGGAGTTCTATGATCCCAAAGGCAGGAAAATCATTGAGAAGATTGGCGTAGAGGAGTGGTTCAGCGGTTATAACGAGTCGAAAGAGTATCGGGCTCTTGGGATTGGTTCTTTGATGGGTGATGTGGTTGAGCGGATGGTTGGCAGCGTCGAAGGAAATGCTCACGATGGGCACCTTGAAATCGGGGGTAAAAACGGTACACTGGGGAGTGGAAGAGGGGGTGAGAAGGCTATCAAGCTCGCCCTGAGTGGCTGCCACGATACAACTCTCGCCGCCGTTCTTTCGAGTCTAGGTGCCTTTGACGGGGAGCCGTGGCCTCCTTACACAAGTCACATTGCCCTCGAACTCTTCAAGAAAACAGGGCCGAGGCAGGCTGGAGTGTCTGTCCCAAATGCTGAGACCCCTGCCGTCTCTCCTGGGTCATCGTCCGGATGGCTAGGTTCATTGTTTGGCAGTGCATCAGCAACCAAGACCCGTACGGGCATCGCTAGGCAAGATATCGAAACACTGGCTACACCCGATAGGTCAAAATTAGATGGTTATTATGTCAGATTACGATATAACGACAAAGTGATGTCAGTCCCGGGCTGCAAACCTGCTGGAAAGCATTTGGACGGCGATGAATCATTCTGTACTCTCGTGGGTACCCTGGTCAGGCTTTGTAGAACACCGTTGCTAATGTGTAGTGCAGGAAGCTTTCAAAAGCATTGTCGACAAGTATACCCCCAAAAACTGGAAAAAAGAGTGTTTAAGCAACATGGGTGCCTCAGCTTTTCCAGAGGAACCCGAGCCCTCAGGCTACTAGATGGGCGCCTTCTTGGTTATCACTGTATAGATTCGCTTAGAAGGTCCTTCAGAAAGGAGCTGTGGAAAAGCCCAGATGGGTACGTAGGTTACAAGTCGCATTGAATAGCCAGCTTCAAGACTGCCTCAGTCTGAACTAGTATACTCCGGATATCCATGTGTGACAATCTCCCTCTGCTCTTCTATGTGCATCAATGCCTGGTTCTGATCTGGGTTTCACAATCGTGATGGTCCTGAGGAGCCAGTCAAACTAGTCCGTGTCTTGTTACCTTCAACCAAAACTCCAAGTCCAGATCCCGCATCGAGGGCTGGAGCTTGACCAGCAGGAAGATCAAAAGACTCATCACCAGAGAACCTCCAACCTCTCTCCTCACCACCGCTCAAGAAGCTACAGTCACCGCTAATTGTGACATTCCACCCACCACCAACCCCATTCCCATCCTTCCAATCAACCTTAGGAATCCCCGTCTCAGGACCCTCCCACTCCTTCACCGTTGTCTCCATATTCCCCCTCCCCCTTCTCACAAAAGTACTCAAGCCACAGGTAAACGGTCGGAAGTCCTCCTCCGCAATATCCTCCGGCATGCGTCCCGTCAGGACCCTCCCGATCGCAATGAGCGTCGCCGCATGCGTGCACAGCACAATAGCCTTGACTCCCTCCCGATCGCACTGCTCGATAATCCGATGCAGCGCATACGCCGTCCGATCATGCAGCTCGTCAATCGTCTCCCCGTTCACGCTCGGCTTGATCGCCACCTTGTACCCCTCGTCGTAATGCGGAAACAGCGCCTTCAGGGCGGCCGGCTCCGCCGGCGACGGGTGGTCGAACCGCGCCATGCCGTACCACTCGCCGATGCCATTCTCGCCGCGGACCTTGGCCGTCTCGGGGTCGGTGGGGGACGTGGCGGCGAGAGCGGCGACCGTCGGGCTGATGGTCTGCACGCAGCGGTAGAAGGGGGAGGAGTAGATGCGCTGGATCGGCGGGTCGAGGGCTTGGAGGTGCAGGGCGAGTTCGTGGGATTGTGCGACGCCGTAGCCGGCGAGGGAGGGGTCGCTGGCGATGCCGGTCGGCGAGGGGATTGAGGCGCTGTATTCGCCCGTTCTGGGGTCGACGACCCAGTTGGATCGGAACTGTTCATTATTTGTATGTTTAGTTGAGATCTCAAAGAAGAGTATTTCTCCACAGGATCACTGCGAGAGTATTGGAGCATATACGAAGGGAGCTGGGATGCGCAAGGGAAAACTTACCCCATGTCGGGTCACATAAATGACTTCCAGACTCATGGTTGAAGGTTTTTGGAGGAGGGCACTGAATGAGGGGTGCCTCCGGTCTCCATTTAAGTATAAGAATCGGGAGAACCCAGTGACCGGAAGAACGCTCTCACATCACATTTACTTGAAATAATTTACACTACGAATTTCGATTTCATGTTTGTATTCAAGTTGATTGCATGGCTAGCCGGGCAAGACTCTGCTTGTGCTTGCATATGCAGGCGGGAGCGATTTAGTTGGGCTGACCTTGACCCTTTCATGCAAAGATTGGCTTAAAGTATGTTTGCTAACATTCGTCCTTTTCGCCTCACCCCCAATCCTCTGCGCAATATGAGCGCACCAAGGGGTTGTGTAACATAGTATACAAGGCTACCCGCAACTGCCATGTTGAGTTTGTACCCAGCTCCCAATAATACAAGACCATGGTAGGCCCCCTTCTACGCCACAATCACGGCTCGGAATCTTTTCTTGTTGTCTCGTATCTGTAAAGAGTCTCAGTATACTTCACTTACCCCCTGAATGCAGGTTGACTTACCTCTTTCCTCTGAATGCCCAGACTCCCCAATTACCACAACTGATATCCTGGGGATCCAGATCGTTGAGGTCCCATCTCAAACTTCGGAAGCGGTTCTCGCCTGGTTCCATCAACATATCCATCTCGCCTCCTACCTTCTTCTTGACCCAATCGATATCTCTCTCCATGTCGTACTGAGTGTAACCAGTGACGAGGATCGGAACCTTGGTCTGCAGTAACTGCGGGATTGTCTCCTCCCATTCGTGGGAGCTGGCCGGGTGTCCAAGTCCTGGGTGGAAAAGCATGAAGCAATCAAAGTAAGGATCGTATGGGTAAAAGTGACCAGCTTCGTGGAGTGTGTGGTAGTAATCAACATAGGTGCTGATTTTCATGTGGTGCGTGATACGGTCCTCAACAACAGCTCCATAAGGGTTCTCTGGAGTTCGCTGCGGGAGCGGGAACTCGGCATCTCTGTTCGCCATACTTTCAGGTCCGATGAAAACAATGTGGAAGGCAACGCGAGGAAAGAGATGGGTCAATTGCACCCAGACTTCTCGTGGCAGAGACGACTCGGCACGAGCGCCCAGAATGAAGATCCTCATCGGCGGTGGACTGAGCTTAAGTCCCTTGATGGTAGCATCGCCTCCAGATCGAGGGGGATGCAGCGAATATCTCAAAGCTAACTGGTGTTAGTCTCCAATCTTTAAAAGGTCTATAAAACATACCGCTCAAACTCTTTAGGCCCTCCACAGTCAACCTCCCTCCTTTCTTTATGTTGTATGGACTCAACTCGTGCAATATACTGCCAATTGTAACAGGATATGTCAACAGCCTTGTTGCTTGCCGCAAACTTCTCTCGTCGTTTATAGCCTGGAATTCTCTCGAGAACAAAAACGTGTCCCAGTTTGTCATGTTGACCATAGCTTCCTCAATTTGATCACCTGGATACTCAAATTCTGGAAAGAATCGACCAGATCGCAGATCATGATCGTCCTCGTTGATCTCTCTCAATGTATCGCAAATCTCCAAATGCGCTTCGTAATCGTCTGCCCAGTGCTCCTCAGAGCAAGATACGGGTATCCCACAATCTGGACATTCGAAGTCCACATGCGCGGGCGGCAGCGGTCCTTTGACTGATTTTCGCGCCTCATGATCGCTCGGGTTCATGGGCAGACGAGTCTGATGGTGATCGGGGTGCGGGCAGTAGGCATTCTGCCTTATAAACGCAGCTCTTCGTCTAATCTCGGGAGATGGCGAGCTCGAAAAGGGGTGGAAGAGGTTGTTGGGCATCAAAAGAGGTCTGCTTTCTCTCGTGTCTCCCGGGGTCGCTTCTGGTCCTCCTGGCGCTCCAAACTCGAACCGCTCGTTCTTGCTCGTCTGCCCTATCGATGAAGCTGCCCTCCTGCCCAACGGCTTCTGATTTGTATCCTGGCTCCCATGTAAGTTCGCCCCATTTTTGCATGTAGAAATACTTCGTGACCCCAGGGCCAGTCGCGCAGAGAATGCCGGGCGTTGTGGAATCCAAGTAATCGGTTTGAGGGCACTTAAGCACCTAGTGCAGGTATATGAAGCTGATTTTCGCATCGTGGCATAGCACAGGACGTTTTGCAGTTGGTAAAATCAGCCGGCATGAGTACCGAGTAGACACTCGGGAAGCTAATCCGGAAGGGGCCAAGCGCTAGCGCCTTCTACAGAAGCTCAGACAACCTCTCGAAAATTTGAGATTAATGGCAACAACAACTTCACAACCTCGTCATCGACATGATTTGATCTGCGAACAGCTGCATTGCCAGCTCTTTTCCACCTGAACTGTCCTAAATACATCCTGCACTCACCAATTTGGTCGCGCAGACTTTCTTCGCGCCGCCGACAAGATGGCTACAACCTCTTCCATGTTCATGTACAGCTTGACCGTCCAGCCCCCGACCGCGACGACACAAGCTATCTTGGGACAGTTCACCGGAAATAAGGAGCAGCAGATCATTACAGCTTCCGGATCCCGCCTCACCCTACACCGTCCCGATCCATCCCAGGGCAAAATTCTCACAGCCCTATCCCATGATGTGTTTGGAATCATCAGAGCCTTGGCTTCCTTCAGGCTGGCTGGAAGCAATAAGGGTGAGTCATTCAATCTTGTCAATTTGGACTTCACTTAGTGATCTGAAGCGTGGATGGCAGCACGAGATATTCCACCATGAACCATCACCGGAGTAGGATGGGTATAGGAAATCGAGACTTCGTGGTTGAAAGACGCTAAATGAATTGTCTAGATTACATCATTATCACATCTGACTCTGGACGAATTACTATCGTCGAATTCCTCCCGGCGCAGAACAAGTTCAATCGGTTGCACTTGGAAACATTTGGAAAATCTGGTGTCCGAAGAGTCATTCCTGGACAGTATTTGGCTGTGGATCCGAAGGGTCGAGCTTGCCTGATTGCTTCAGTAGAAAAGAACAAACTCGTTTATGTCCTCAATCGAAACTCCCAAGCAGAGCTGACGATCTCATCACCGCTGGAGGCTCACAAGCCTCAAACCTTGGTATTTGCCATGTGTGCGTTGGACGTTGGCTACGCCAATCCAGTCTTTGCCGCTTTAGAAGTCGATTACGGAGATTCAGATCAGGACCCTACCGGCCAGGCTTATGATGAAATTGAAAAGAGCCTGGTGTACTACGAGCTAGACCTCGGACTGAACCACGTTGTACGAAAGTGGTCGGATCCTGTGGATCGGACCGCGTCTGTCCTCTTCCAAGTCCCAGGCGGTACTGATGGACCCAGTGGAGTTTTGGTTTGCGGAGATGATAACATCACATACCGACACTCAAATCAGGAAGCTTTTCGCGTTGCTATTCCTCGGCGCCGAGGGGCTACCGAGGACCCTAACAGAAAGCGGGTCATTGTGGGTGGTGTCATGCACAAGCTCAAGGGTGCCGCTGGTGCCTTTTTCTTCTTGCTCCAGACAGACGATGGAGACCTGTTCAAGGTCACCATTGAAATGGTCGAGAATGATGAGGGTGCTCCCACAGGAGAAGTCAAACGCCTCAAGATCAAGTACTTTGACACCGTTCCGATTGCCACTAGTCTCTGCATCTTGAAGAGTGGCTTCCTGTTCGTGGCTAGCGAGTTCGGCAACCATCAGTTCTACCAATTCGAAAAACTCGGAGACGACGATGAAGAAACCGAATTCATCAGCGACAACTTTCCCACAGACCCGTTAGAGCCTTACACGCCTGTATATTTCCATCCTCGGCCAGCGGAGAATCTGAGCCTCGTTGAAAGCATCGACTCTATGAACCCGTTGATGGACTGCAAGGTCGCAAATTTGACTGAGGAGGATGCTCCTCAGATCTACTCTATCTGTGGCACAGGTGCACGCAGTACCTTTAGAACATTGCGCCATGGCTTGGAGGTCAGCGAAATTGTTGAATCCGAGCTGCCCGGTGTACCCTCTGCTGTCTGGACTACAAAGCTGACACGGAATGATACCTACGATGCCTATATAATTTTGTCTTTCACAAATGGTACTCTCGTTCTCAGCATCGGTGAGACTGTAGAAGAAGTCACAGATACCGGATTTCTGTCTAGTGCACCGACACTGGCAGTTCAGCAGCTTGGCGATGATGGCCTGATTCAAGTTCACCCCAAAGGTATCAGGCATATCAGAGCCGACCGTCGTGTCAACGAGTGGGCTGCTCCACAACATCGTTCAATTGTCGCTGCTGCGACAAACGCGCGACAAGTTGCTGTTGCTCTCAGCTCTGGCGAGATTGTTTATTTCGAGATGGACTCCGATGGATCCCTGGCTGAATACGACGAAAAGAAGGAAATGAGTGGAACTGTCACCTGCTTGAGTCTTGGAGAGGTTCCCGAAGGACGAGTGCGAAGCCAATTTTTGGCCGTGGGTTGCGACGACTCAACAGTGCGTATTCTGAGTCTCGATCCTGATTCGACTTTGGAAAACAAGTCAGTCCAGGCTCTGACTTCTGCCCCCTCGGCACTGTCAATCATGGCTATGTCTGATTCATCTTCTGGAGGCTCGACTCTCTACCTTCATATTGGTCTTTACTCTGGTGTCTACTTGAGAACAGTACTGGACGAGGTTACTGGGGAGCTTTCGGACACGCGAACCCGATTTCTTGGTCCCAAACCAGCCAGACTCTTCCGGGTCTCTGTCCAAGGACAAGCTGCTGTTCTTGCTCTGAGCTCCCGACCTTGGCTTGGGTACTCTGATCCTGTTACTAAAGGCTTCATGCTTACCCCATTGAACTACCCTGGATTGGAGTGGGGCTGGAATTTCAGCAGCGAGCAATGTACGGAAGGTATGGTGGGTATCCAAGGTCAAAATCTCAGGTACGTTTCTGATCACTCTTATTCTTCCATCCCCAAAAGAGATTCTATGATGATTTTCTTATCGTTAACCTTCCTATGTCTAACGTGGCAATGAGGATTAAATATTATAAATCCAATTGTTCCTTCTGAGAATCTTACTATCTATCCACCTTGCAATTGATAAATTCCAGGGCCATGAATTGACTCTTGGTGCTTTGCTAGGATCTTTTCCATCGAGAAACTTACCGACAACCTTCTCCAAGACACCATATCGCTCACATACACCCCTCGCCGTTTTCTCCGTCACCCAGAACATCCCTTGTTTTACACAATCGAATCCGACAATAATATCCTTTCCCCAGCCACCAAAGCCAAATTATTAGAAGATCCCTCGATAGTCAATGGCGACGCGGCTGTTTTACCTGCAGAAGAATTTGGCTACCCACGAGGCAAAAACCATTGGGCATCATGCATATCAGTCGTCGACCCTGTTACCGAGAAGCGTGTTCTCCAAAAGATTGACCTCGATGATAATGAGGCAGCTGTCAGCATGGCGGCGGTCTCATTTTCTAGTCAAGATGACGAGGTCTTCCTTGTTATCGGAACCGGTAAGGATATGATAGTAAGCCCGAGATCTTCGACAGCGGGTTTTATTCATGTCTACCGATTTCATGATAATGGCAAGGAGATTGAGTTTATTCACAAGACTAAGGTTGAGGAACCGCCAATGGCTCTCCTTGGGTTCCAGGGCAGGCTTCTTGTAGGAATTGGTAAAGATTTGAGAATCTACGACCTCGGCATGCGGCAACTTCTTCGAAAGGCTCAAGCAGAAGTGGCCCCAAATCTAATCGTTGGTCTCCAAACCCAAGGAAGCCGTATCGTGGTCAGCGATGTCCAGGAGAGTATCATCATGATCGTATACAAATTCCAGGAGAACAAGCTCATCCCGTTCGTTGACGATACCATCTCCCGCTGGACCTCTTGTACTACAATGGTCGATTATGAGACCGTTGCAGGTGGCGATAAGTTCGGCAATCTATGGCTTTTGAGATGTCCGACAAAAGCAAGCGAGGAAGCTGATGAGGAAGGCTCTGCCTCACATCTTGTCCATGAGCGATCATATCTTCAAGGTTCTCCTCATCGGCTGACCTTGATGGCTCATTTCTTCACCCAAGACATCCCGATGAGTATCCAGAAGACAAATTTGGTCGCTGGAGGACGGGATTGCATACTATGGAGTGGAATTCAAGGAACCCTTGGCATCCTTATCCCATTCGTCAGTCGTGAAGATGTCGACTTTTTCCAGACTCTTGAACAACATCTCCGGTCAGAGGACGCTCCGTTGGCTGGGAGAGACCACCTCATCTACCGAAGTTACTACGTTCCAGTCAAGGGAGTGATCGATGGAGACTTGTGTGAAAGATATACTCTCTTGCCTACGGACAAGAAACAAATGATTGCTGGGGAGTTGGATCGGTCGGTTAGAGAAATTGAGCGGAAGATTTCGGTAGGGTTTCACCACAAAGTGTTTACCGTGACACTGCTAACAGCGAGACAGGATATTCGGACGCGTTCAGCATATTAGCTGGCGCATGGGTTTACATGGATTGGTGTATTTATAATACAGGCAGGCGTTGCGGTTACACATTATGATGATGATCATGGTAAGTTGTACCAGACGAGTTTAGTACAAAAATGCAAAAAATTTAAAGCAGGTCGTCGTCTCACGTCGCTCGATGTCGTCTACGCAGGTTGTTTCGGTCTCATCATCTCTGCCCAGTAAATCTCCTTCGCCCTACGTTGTGGGATTTTCCTTTCCCTTTCATGTTAGCCTCTATTGGATGTTCCTTCTCCCATCTCTCATCGTCCTTGTACGCCTCCACCGCGGCTTCTAAGTCGTAGTCGACCTGCTGTAGGTATAATAACGCTACATCATATCTATATTTCAGCGCAACACTAGGTTATTAGTCGCCTCTTCCTCCGTAAATTCCTCAGTCGAGGCACACAGAGCGGTAAAGGAGCACGTACTCAGAAACCTTGCATGTTACCATCCACTTCCTCACGAGCCCTTTTCTGCGTTCTTCCTCCTCCCCCTCCACGGGCCGCGGGCTCAAACTCACGCCTCCTTTATAAAACTCTGCAGGTATTATGATGGTCCTTCTGGCCAGCAGTAAGTGATCGGCAGTTATGTTATTTGCTTTTCTCAATGCGAATACGGGGACGTCGTAGCGGAAAGAGAGGGATGTCAAAGTGTCGTGTTCGTGGTCGAGGAAGTGGAGAACATCTTCCGCTGGGGCGATACTCGACGAGGCCTTCTCCAGAGAAGCTGTCTGCGGGTTCGTGGGGGAGGAGTATGGCGGAAGTGCATCTGAATATGGCGGGGGGTCTATGGATGGTCTAGAGGATGCTGACGATGGGGCGTAACTCGGTGGGTCGCGGAGACCTTGCGGTAAAGGGGATGGTTTGGTGGACACTTGGCAGAAAGGACCTGGTTGCATCTATAAGTCCCCGTTCAAAGACTTCGAAGGGTTTCGGAGGGGTACTTACAATATGCAGCAAAACGCTCGTTATTCTAGAAACACAATTCGTATCAGCATACCTACAGCATACCTATCCTCTCTTCCCTTCCCCACAGGAAACCAAGAGAGAAATACACATACAGCAATACAATTCCCGCATATCACCCTGCTGCAGCACTCTAGTTTTCTCTCGAGAAATGCCGGCTTCTCACTCTTCTCATCGTAGACGACCCGAACGTTCTTAAGGAGCGTTGCGCAAGTGCAGCAGCTTTCTTCCATCTTCGCAGCGTGTTTTTCGACGTGGGACTGGCGGGTTCATGAATCTCAGGAATGGCGGAGAAGGGGCGGGGTTTGACGAGGGGCATGTGAGCTAGGTACCTAAGCTTATATATATATATATACAGAGAGAGAGGGGTATGTATATTAAATATATAATTAGATACGTAGGAATGTCGGGAACTGGAAGGAGGTTTGTTGCATTGCATTGTCCATGACGAGTGGTTGCCTTTGCCCCCTATCAGGGCTTATCGGAAGCACGTGCAAGTACCCCGCCACGCCCGCCACGCCCGCCACCGGCCTTTTGGATCTTCCGAGCTGCGCCAAGGTTATGAGGATAACCGAGGGCAAGTAAACCCGGCTACGGAGATTTAATAATTCCGAGTAATCGGAGCGCTCATGTTTATGTTCCACCTCTACGGGTATATGCATCCATCGTAGGGACGTCTCCTGACACCCAATACCTGCCCTGGATCTCGTCATGTGATTTTTAATCTTCCCCATCTCTTGCGTCGCGGGACCGATTTTACGTCTGACAGCAAGCACTTGCGCACTTCGAAGAGAATGACTAGTCTTATATGACAGTCTCAGACTCCGAGGTGCTAAACTCCCTCCGTTCCCTCGACGAGACATTCTTCTAGGCTATAGCCCTTCTCACTCTACACCGTTGCATCAGATCAACCCAGCCATGGGTAGTATGGGATGGGTACCGTACTTCTTTCAGCTCGGCGCCAGCGCAGCGACAGCTGTCTTGGGAACTACAAGTGTTAAGCATGACTTCTGGCATTGCTTCTCCCAGGAGCTGGGTATTTCACTATCTTTTGACTGGCTCTACCAGGCGATCAAGATGAGCCTGTCTCTATCTTTGGCAGCGGCTTTTGGTTTACCATCGCGATGGCGAAAGTGGTTTTCCACGAGCCGCGAGTTTAGCGAGAATCACATCTGATGCCCCCTGTTGACTTCCGTACGTACTCGGCGAGTGTCGGTATCACAGGTGCCGAATGAGAAGTACGAATATTATGGTGGTACCAATTGTATTCGTGGAGTCTGAAGAGGTCAGCTATCCTAGCCGAGGGGAAGCTATATGCTGGTGCCAAGGCAGGCTACCTACCTAGTGTAATCACGTAACCTTAGATGCCTATACCTTATATTCCCACACTAGCAATTCCTTACTTTTCTTGGTTCCACACAATCCCAAATCCATGTCAAAGCAAAGCTTGAAAACATCACTTTTGTATACAAATACAGTATTAATCTTATGCTTATTTCGGCATTCTCTATCATCGTAATCGTCGTTGTAACTATCATTATAGCCATCGTCATCGCCGTAATCTTTATCATCGTTACCGTAATCCTCGTTCTACTAATCGGAATTGCTTTCAAACTCCGTCCGTACAAGTACCGGTAACTCTTCGATTTGTTCGGCGAATCCATCTTCTTGTATTTGGCTGTAGTCGTATTAAGGTTCAGCTAGCTGAAATAAGGTAAAGAAAACCGAAGAGCAAAAAGTTGAACTAAAGGTCGAAGTAAGGAACGCCAATCGTCATCATCGTCAGGTTCGTAAGTGTATCGAGGCTGAATTGAGAAGGTGCGCTGAACTGGCTGGATTAGCTCAACTAGCTGGATTAAAAAGGTGCGCGAAGCTTGCGATTGCTAAATTATTTGTGATTGCTGAATTAATTGAAAAGGTGTTAGCTAAGTTATCCAAAATCTCGCATCTCGAGATTTCAGTAGAAACGGGCAAGTGCGCTAAAGCCATTCTCGATAGTCTGTAGATCGGTCCGAAGGTTAAGAAATTTAAGGCTGAGGAATTGAAGGTTGAGGAACTACTACGTAGTAGGTGCTTTGCAACTACCGTAGCTCGAGGCGCTCAGATTCGAGATCGTCCGTCTAAACGTAAGGTGTTGTTTCTTCGAGGCAAGCTTGTAAAACGTAGCAATACGAATTTCCTTTAATAAGGTGAATCCAAACCTCTCGGGGTACTAGCAATTCGCGGAGGTCTCGAGTCACTTGGCGGTTTCCAAGCTTCCATATCGCCCTTTGTAAATCCTTCAAAATCTTCCTTGAAATATTTTTACGTACTAGTATATTTGCCTTTGTGCGTCCCTTTTCGATAGCGTAAGAAAGTGAGGAGAATATAGCCGTTGACGATAAGAGTAGTAAGGTAAGCCGAATTCGCGATATCGAAAAGCTCATTTTATCTTTCTACCTTGTGTAGGACCGTTAGCATCTCCATCATATTCGAATTTTAAGAGATATAAGGCTGGCAGAAGATTGTAGGATTCGAAGTGTGTCGATATCTCCATATCGACCTAAGTTAGTTAGTTGTAGTTGGGGGTGATGTGGCCAACTCCACCCGTGAATCATGGTTCACGGGTCACTTAGCGTACCTCGCTTAGCAGGTCACGCGGTTCAAGGGACCTCTAACTTGACTGCAAAAGCTACTATTTGGCTAGTGCACGTGACTAATTCTAATCGTATAAATAGAGTCAGCTCCCCTGAACTCCAGGAAAAAGACAAAATATAAGTACCATTTTTGACCATTGATTTGCAATTGCAAAAATACGTACACGGCACGCAAGCTACGACTTTACGACTTTACGAATATATTCCCGATCGCTAAAAGCAATCCAACACTGATCAGTGATTAACTCCGCCAATTGTTTAATCACAAAGAAGCTATGTTAGACCGAAGAGCGAGCAATAACTTACACTCCGATACCTCATCATATCTTTACGAAAGAGTAATTCCGAACCAATTCACTTACCTATAATACCGCTACCTCTTATTCTTACGGAAGAGTGAAAACGAATCAAGTCACTTATCAATACAATACAAACCAGATCTACCTACAACCAGACAACAAGCATGGCAGATCGAGCAACTGGACCTCAGGGTGGGGAGTCCAGCAGACAAGGAGGAACGGGATATTATACTCCCCGTATTTCAACACCACCCGCGGAACCTCCAGCAGTTCAGCCGAAGGGACCATTGTATCCAGGTCTTCCAGATCCATTTGAAGTGCCAGATGACGAGATGTCGGGCCTGTCTTTTGACCTAAATGAGCTACCGTACGCAAGGCCTGACAGCAACCTGACGGCAAGAGCGATGATCGAGGACTTCCTGGATATTAAGAGCAGAGGTCTAAGGGACCACGACCTTTGGACCCCATACCGACGTGCCTTCTCTAGATGAGATTGGGGTAGCTTTACGTTAGCGAGTAACGATGCCAAGAACTTTTTTATTCTACGATCAACTGTAAGGTTTCAGCGGCATCCGCACACTCTTCCGCGACATTCGGGATAGAGCACGAGAAGCGTAGTGGAGCGCAAGCTCTACTAAGCTCTCTCGCTCGTATCGGAAATGGGGCCTTCCGTACCTAATCAAGCCCCTTCCGGAGCTAGAACTCCTACGACATGTCTTGCATAGACTACTTGCGATCCGGACTACACACGAAGACTTCACTTAGTACCATACCAGGTTCCAGCACCACGACGCCAACTTAAGGTATGCTTGCGGCAAACGCAAGTCCCTTTTGCACTTAGCCTTCTATCGATTCATACAACGACGCTTCTTCTCTTGGCCACACAAGACTCGACCACGGACCCCCTCGAGCACGATCCCGAAAGCCTATGACTTTCTTAAAGCTCTCTTTAGCAATCCGGCCGACTTTCAGGCCTTCTTAACTACTACGGAGTTCTACTCCAAGCACTGCACCCGGTAAGGGTGCTACTTTGGCCAACTGATACTACTTCGATAAGGAGGACGGGGTACGCCCCGCCTTACAAAGGCTGTAAAGGCTCGTTAAATCAACCGCGTGACGGGATTAAGACTTTAAGACGACGTAAGGCGCTCTCGGGGGAACTCTTTCTAGCATTGCTATATTATACTACGTACCTATCGTCGATAAGATTCTCCACGATCATCCCGAATTGGAGTTTCAGCAAGATAACGCTAAAGGACATGTTGCTCGATTTACACTAGCTGTTTTAGAAGCTTGTGGTATCGAGCGGATGGCCAGCTTTATCGCCCGATCTTAACCCGATCGAGACGGTTTGGTTATGGATGAAGGATTATATTCAAGAAAGATATCCTGATGTTCATCAAAGCTATCCTCGATTAAGAATGGCTGTTCAAGAAGCGTGGGATTCGATCGATAAGGATAGAATTGTTGCTTTAATTAGAACTATGAGACAGCGTGCACAATCCTACCTCGAAGTCCTCGAAGCCGAAGTCAAGCCAATCTTCCGAAAATTGCCTCGCAAATATTGGTTTCAGCAAGACAATGCATCAATCTATACTGCAAAGAAAGTTCAGCTTTGGTTCGGCAAAAATAAGATTACTTTATTAATCAATTGGCCACCTTTTTCTCCCGACCTCAATCCGATCGAGCACGTTTGGTAGCATCCTAAAAAAAAGCTTTACTAAATGTTCCCCGACGTTGCGATCGATAAATCGAATTCGGAACACGCAAGGCAAAGGATGGAAAGTTGTTTGCAAGCTGTATAGGATACATTGGATCAATCGTTGTTCGATAATTTGTATCAGAGTATGCCGGATAGAATTGAAGCTCGTATCGCGGCTGAAGGCTGGCATACTAAATATTAAGGTTCGTTCGCTTTCGAAAAATTAGCTTAAAAATTGAGAAGGATAAAAGGAGTCTAAGGAATAAAATGATATTTTTTTATTTAATTTGGATTTGTAATTATTGCGTAATTAAGGTATAGTAAATGGATGTCTATTGTTGATTTGGAGTTTTCGCTTAAATGGCCAACAGCAGTTGCCTAGTACTGTACCTGCTTGACTTTCTGTTATGGTTTTCCCTTGACGAAAGATTTCCATCCTATCCGTAAGAGAAGGGCGCATACGATAGTAGCCTACGCTATAGCACTATAAATTGCTTTTTGAGGCCTTCTTGTATATAACTCCTTAGCTTAGCACGTCGCCGTACCCTATGGGAGGTCCCAGGGCGGCAGGCTTCGCCTGCTACCCGCCCGACGTAAATAAATACAACAACAATAACAACAACAACAACTGTAAGGTTGACTATTGATCAATGTCGGTATCACAAGTATCGAATAATAAGTCTGAATAATATAGTGGTACAAATTATATTCGCGAAGTCTGAAGAGGTCAGCTATTCTAGCTGAGGGGGAAATATATGCTGGTGCCGAGGCCGGCTACCTAGTGTAACCACGTAACCTTGGATGCCATGCCTTATATTCCCACAGTGAGTGAGAGGGAACATTCACAGCTCAGGTTCTTAGCCGCTGCTGTGAAAGGCTACAGCCAAATTCTGCTTTTTGGGTATCTGGGATGAAGTGTTGAAGTATTGCTTTAGTCGCAAAAGCCATGGCGCGAGAGCATCACCGAGCCCGTGTTCTTCTGCTTCTCAATGCGCCATACATTTCGGGAGTGTAAGGGGAAATTCAAATCTACACACTCTTATGATTGTTTCTCGTTGGCCGCTTCCCCTGCCTTTATATTTTGTGTATCCTTACTCTCAGATGTTATCCACATTGATAGTAATTTTTTCCGTGGGAGCGGTGCTCTCAGTCACCAACGGAGCATCTCTCCCTCGCCCTAAGAATGTCGCCGTCGGTCCTGGTTACATTTCATTGCCTGTAGTTGCCGAGAATTCCGAGGCCGGAAGCATGCAGAAGAGGCAACCGAGCAACCCTGATCTCTACAATACGGATTTTGAAACGGTATATTTGGGCCACCGTACGTCTACAACTTGGAAATATACTAATTGGATGACATGCTGGTTCTTTCCTTAGTATCTTTAGGAACACCTGCTCAGCCCGTCTATCTTCTCCTCGATACAGGCTCTTCGGAGACTTGTGTCGACCCTGATGGTACCACAGCTAGCTCGGCACACAGCAGACCGAATGCAATAGCTTCCCCAAATATGACCCTGGATGGAGATGCATGTAAAGCGAAAGGTTTTTCTTTTCTTTTCTGTTCTTTTCTTAACTTGCCTGAAATCGTCAACTGCTGACTTCGGGAAACTCACAGTACAGCCCTTCGACCGCGACAGACGTTTGCTATCCCTTTGACGTAAGCGTAAGTAGATTTGCTTTCTTGCCTCTCGCTAACTATCGAGGGAGTGGAGAGGATATGTCCCTGGTAACATATTGACGACAAATCTGGCAGTTGGCCTATGGTAAAGGAACTGCGTCTGGAGAGTACCTGCTAGATACTGGATCTACATGACCTCGGTCGGTATTACGAAGGCGGGCTCCACTACTTCAAAATGATACACTGTAGCGCCCCCGGCATATCAGCAGCCGGTGTTTCTTGACAGTGATGGAACTCTAAGCCAGGTGAGTAGATTCTCCTAGTAGCTCTAGGGGAGACGAAGATATGTCTCCCTGCCGTTCAAAGCAAAATACTGATAGATTTACTAGCTACCCGCCAACCTCGTGGCAGCCATGCTATCGGAATTTACTGTGAGTACTAATGGAGCTATGTCCCAGTCTCGAGTCCCAGAACCTCGAAAGAAGTATCTCGCCCTTTCACTCCTTATCAAAACTGGTCGATAACTCTATCCAGGGCGTGGTAGATGTGGGAAATGGGCTATACTTAGTCGATTGTGTCCAGACCATGCATAGTGGAACACTCGACTTCGGATCTGGGAACGCTATGAACAAAGTTCCTTACAGCAAATGAATATGGCAACCAGCCGCAGAGAGTGATACTTCGGAGCTAGGGCTGGCGATCCTGCAGTTTCTAGTTCATGAGTATTGGGAGGTGAGTAATTCTCGCGTCCAGCTGTATACACGCACTGACTTTGAAAAATACCTTTCAGAGATCTTGCTACAGTAGGTTCAGTGCCGCCACCCTCGAGCTGTGACTACATCGCATAGCGGATTTTTGACCAAGATAATGGGAACTTGTTACTTGCACAGTACCAAGATTGCGGTTCAAATACCATCCCTATGTATGTGGTAATAAAGACTTTAACGGTCTCTATTCTACTGCTTTGTTTCTCGACCAAGTGAACCTGCGCTGATCATCTAGTGGCTCTGGGACCGACGCTGTTCCCTTGGTTACCGGCGCGTGTAAACCGACCAGTACCAGTTCCTAGAAATCCGCGTCCTCGACAAGAAGTTCCTCGTCTGTGAAGCCTACGCTAGATCTTCATTTGGAAGGTACTAAAGAGCGAATCTCCTGCTTTGATGTTCCTGCTTAACCGAACTCACTTCTCAATTCCTGCAGCTCGGGCTGGAAGCGAACGCGAGATCCTTGCCATCTTCCATACGTGATAGAAAGGCTGCCTCATCTTCCGCATCGAGACACGGGAGTTAAGGAGGCATGTTGCGATGATAACAATGATTTGACAATTGTTTATTCCAAAGTTCCTCATTCCGAGACGAGCCTGAATGCTAAGCGTGCACGGACTGGATGTTTACTTTGGAGTACTGCGAGAGAAGGGAAGGCGTTGTGAGGGCTTGACATGTGGATGAATGCACGGGATGGAATGTTTCCAATCTGTAGCCACTGCATTGCTCCCGGTAACTGTCCTTTCATTGTATCGTGGCTTTTTTCTCCCCTTCCAATAGTAGGTTTGGAACTTACATTACTTTTTCTTGCCATAGCCACGCCTTTTCAGACAATGGTTTTACTATGGACGGAGGTTCACTTGGGTATGACTTGCAGGTATACCCAGAGTGGTGCAGCGGCAACTTTCAGCCAGCCTGGAACCTATCGGCTTAGTAGCCCCGAGCGTTCTGTCAAGGCAAAGAGTCCAGCTTTCATAGGCTTGAAGCCAGTCACAGCCATTAGATCTAGCGACCTGGGCCCATGTCCTCAACGGCATCCACTCTGTCCCAGGTTTCTTTTTCGAGATCTCGCACGCTCCCCTCCAATTCTTGGACTCTCTTCTCTACTCTTGATTGTTCAGCCTGTCGTTGATCGTCAGAAAACCGAGTTATCCACAGAGAGGCACCACTAGGCTAGACTTACTTGTTGCTCGGCCCACGTCTGCTCGAACGCTTTCATCATGAAGGGCTGGATGGCCGTCTTCCTCCCCTTCTTGTAGTCGTAAACCACGATATCCTCTACACACCTTGCCGCAGGCCTCTGGTGCAGTTCCGAGAGGATCATGACGTCGAGAATGAAGGATGACTCCGACTCCGAGGGGAGGTGGGAGAGCTTGTGGAAAACGGAGATGTGGTCTGGCCAGGTCATGGGCTTCGGAGGCAGTCAGGAGATGCGCATTCAGGAACAGGTATCAGATGGGACGCGTACGAATTTGTAATCCGTCTTCATGGATCTGAGGATCATCCCAATACCGTTGGGCGTGACGGACTCCATCCACTCGCGCCTATGCTCTGGATCAAGGTGTACCGCATAGTTATACGCCCAATTGATCCGAGCCGACTCGGCGTATCTGATATACATGACGTTATTGACATGTTCCTGTTCAAACGTTTCACATTAGCCACAATTCTTGCCCCCTTTTTTTTCCCCCTTCAGTGTCTCTGGATCCACGCCAGAGGGAAAAAACGGTGGCAAACACACCATACGGTCCATCTCCCCCCACACAACGCCCTGTCTCAACAAGCCCGCCCTCTTCCTGCCCACCAGGAACCCCTCTCGTCCAGCTACCAGGTCCCTCCACTCCCCGCCGACGGCCTTCAGCACGGTGGCCGCTCGTCTCGTCTGCTGTGGGGACATGCCAAACATGACGCACTTGCCTATCCGGGCTTTGATACCTGACAGCCATCGTGCGTTATGGGGAGCTGCTGTGGGTGCGGGCGCAGGCATAGAGGAGTGCGAAGAGGCATTCGAGGGTCCGGACGCGCACACGGACGTGGAGAGCGCGCGGGAATGGGGGGCTTGGAAGGCCGGGAGGAGGAACTGGAGAGGCTGATATCTGGGCTGGGCCCGGAGGACTTTCATTTTGCTTTGCTGGAATCTGGGGATGTTCGTTTGTTCATTGTGGAATTGTCCAAAGTCCGCGGACCGTTGAGCTGGGTGCGGGATTGGATTGCGCATAAGCTCCCGGCCCCTCGGTGGATTTACCGAGGGGCCGAAGCTCTATAGCGCAGGGGCCGATGTGGGGAAACGGAGAGCCGGGCATATTCCTCATAGACCTTCTTCTGTTTACTTTACCGAGTACTTTCAGATCCATTCTTCATCCAAAGCTCTCCCATTCCGTCTCCAATCGCCCCGTTTAATCCTGCCTATCTCAAAATTTAGATCCCCTTTATTGCTTTGCTTGGCTGTGACACTTGAGCTTCTTCAAATCTTGGTGCGAAAGCCTGGCCCAAAGACCACAACATGGCGACATCAAATATAGCATTGAGAAGAGAGGTCATCAATATATACAAAGGTACGTAGGTGCTCATAGAGCCATTCAGTCATATAACCTTGTGCCCCATCCGCCGAGTTTGACGTTCTCTTGCGTGGTGGGTATTGACTGCTAGCCAGAGCTTCTACATCTGGGAAGGGCCTATCCATTGGGTTACGACTACTTCCGCCCAAGGCTGCACAAGGCCTTCATCAGCAACGCAGGTTTGGCGGACGAGGCAGAGATCCGTCAAGGAATCAAGAGGGCGGAATTCGTCAAGAAAGGTATAGGCTCCTCATCTCATATCGGCATTGTTGATAACGACTAACTCGCATAGAAATCGAAGCACTGTAAGCTAGAAGATGTTTACGAATTCTCATTCACAATAATAGAGCTTATGGGTATCCTCTAGGTACTATTTAAAGAAATATCGAGCAATTCGTCAGCGATACGATAGAACATGACAAAAACGTGTCCAGTTCTCGTGTCCTGCCCCTGGAACCCTGGAGCCCCGCCGTACCAGTCCGATGCCCCCCCACCTCCCCTCCCCCCCAGATCCTCAGACATCACAAGTTTCCTAGTGCCGTCCACATCAATGGGAACACCGGTCCGTTGCGGAGAGGTCTCGTCACATATTGTGGTGCGTGACTGGATAAAAGCCACATATCCCAATCACATCAGACGGGATTACCCCGGTGGCTTCTTTTTCCGCGCCCACCAAGCGCCGACCTCGAGGCATTCTCCCCAAGAGGTTCCGTTTTGCTTCAGCAAGCTATTCATCATGTTTCCTTGCCAGCGGTCCCACTCATCCTGCCCTTTTCCACTGGCCTCTCTCAATAAGGGCTCCAGGCTCTCAATCATCTGCACAACAGTCATGAGAGCTGTTCTGCGGAGCGCAAGCTGGCCCGCAGTCAATGTCTTCCGGTCGGGTTCCCGAGCTTTACCTTTGGATGAGATGAAATCGTCGTTTGGACCTTGCGGCACTGATCCGCCAACGCCTTCCCGCTCCCAACGCACCTCACCAAGAGGAATTGCCAGGCGTCGGTAGTCGATATCGGTTAAGTTTTCTGACTCTTGGAGAAGCATCGGTAATATGTTAGGGGTGGGCATGGCTGTTAATTGTCGGGCCTCGAGCGCCTTTGAAACCCACCCGTTGTAGTCATGGAGAAATGGATTCTGCGGTGCCGCTAAAGGTGTTTGCCTGGTCAACGTATATGTCCCCATGGCATTCGTATGCATCTGGATTTCGTCCTCGCTATCATCGTCTTCTTTTGTCGGGGGCGGGACATGTGGTAGCAGCATCCGTAAAGTGTGATCCCCATCCCATACCTCCAATGTCCCTCCCGGCTTCAGGATTCTTATACAGTCGTCCATCACTGTCTGGTGTAAAGCTGTATTCTGCGTAACCATGCTCATGTCCTTGATCATAATCAAGTGAAATTCATTGTCCTGAAACGGTACCGAACCCCGCCTTATATCGTGTTGCACAAATCGCCAGTCCATGTCATCGTTGGACTCGATATGTGGGGCCAGCGGCGCAATGTCAAGCCCGGTAAAAGAGATGGAAGAGAACCCTCGTTGTGCGAAGTGTCGGTGACACATAACGCTCCAAAAGCCAGTGCCGCAACCCAATTCCAGAACACGTTTGGGGGGTTTGACCTGCAATTCCGGGGAGCAAACCGGTCCGTTGAAGACCTGGCAGAGGAGCATCGTTCGCAGAGTCTGTCTGTGTATCTCGGCCAGGTCGCAAGGAAGAGGATAGGGCAAAGTCATGTCTCGTAAAAATCGTCGGCCGTTTCGGATTGTGAAGGGTCGTGAAAGTGCTTCGTCAGTCGAAGTAGGTTCGCTCGATGTTACCGCAGTGAGACCACTGGAGCCGGTGGTACTGGAGCGGCTATCTGATCGAGCACGAAGCTCTCTTCTCGCACTGCGCGCTTCCGCGCTCTGGAGGGCATATTTGCGCTCAGCGCAATTCCCAGATCTAGACGATGATGCGCGACCTATCTTTGCGGCTTGTGCCGCAGCTCTAGTCTTGTTTGTCTGGTTTGCGGAATGCTTATAGTCAGGTAGAGGCGTGGAAAGCATAGAATCGTCCCTGGACAGAAACAGAGTCGCATGAGCGAATGATCGTCTGTTGATGTTGAAGCTGGAGAAGACGTAAGACACGCCGTCTTGGGAAGTATATTGCGATGCTAGAGAATCGGAGTTGCTGGAGGCTGATGGATGGTCCGGTATTGTCTTCGTAGGAGTTGTTGCGAGGGAATCCAAACTCGGTCATGTTCGGGCGAAAAGAGGCTTGGCCCTGGCTCTGGCCCCACTCTCTTGTTGGTACCGAGTGATTTATTAGGCACGATACAAATACCACACATTCCACACCACAAGAATAGTCCCAGCAGCGACTACTCGTACAGCACGTCTCGAAACTCATTTGGCAATGTCACGCCCGCAGTCACGTGCCATAAGTTCAGATCTTCCGAACGGCCGTTATCAAGGGATCACGGTTATGCTCCGCCGAGCGTTCAGGAGTCGGTGCCGGGCAGACCTTCTGAAGGAAGCACCAAGGGCGAAGGCAACACAAGGCCGAAAAGGACGGGACTTTCTAAGACGGCTTTTTAGATGGAACCAGTGGTCTGGCTACCCGAGGCATCACAATGTGTCTAGGCGGAAGAAGATGTTATCTAGATACGTAGAGTCGAATCCAGACAGCGGCTATCATCTCTGACTACTTCACCAGAGGAGAGTGTCCAGTCTCGGAGTGAACGCGATCCGTGGGATACAAGAAGATTCCAGCACTACGAGGAAAGGGACGATAATGTTCTGGCAACAGATCCGGGCAGCTTTCGCAGCTCGTTGGTGACACAAGATCTCTCTCCTCAGCTGCTAATATTCGACAATAGCGGCTATGCCCGCCGGTGATACCTCCCCCTTTCCCTGCCGAGCCGAGCCCAGGTAACACAGGAATTTGTTGTGCCGTGTATCATACACAAGTCTGAGATACCTAGTACAACCGCTGTTGGCTGTCAGGTATAAAAATACTTCTGGTCGAGGTTAAGGATTAGATCCGAGGATAAGCTTTCACTTTCAAGATTTGGTTCTCCTAGCTCCATTTCATGCAAGAAAGAGCTCCGCCTCTATATCCCGAAGAGTCTCAGACAAAAAGATGGAATCTCACCTCAAGGTGCGGACGGATACCGACATAAAGGGGCTGGTGTGGACAGCCAGAGACATATCGTGGGACCACGGCTAGAGCCAGCCTTACAGATATAGTGTAACAGTACACAGCTGCTCGCTATATATCTAAGTGCGGTACACATTGTATACTACTTTGAGGATATAGAATCATCGCGCGCTGGTAGTGAGCTATGCAGGAAATGAGAACGGAATTAGTAGACGGATTGGTCCGGATCTAGAAATATCTGTCTGTATGCATTTGGACATTTGAAAACAGAAATCAGGACGAGCTAAAAGACAAGTTAGTTTACGGTAAAGTGTAAAAGCCACAAGGAAGGCCAGTCGGAATTTGTTATCACCTTTCTCCTTATTAAACCGTCGTGTTGAATATCAACATTGTGAACAGTACGACTTTTGAATATCTGTAGTCTCGTCCCACTAGTTCAAGGTGACCTGGTATCCACTCTATAAGCTCTCCTCTTCACGTGACGGCATAGCTTGCACGGAGCCAGAACCTCCAGCACCAGAGACTCGTACGCAACCCAGCACCACCATAAGGCATCTGCTCTGCAACAATCATTTCCACGTTTGCGCTCGCGAAGGTATGAACGCGTCCAGCCTCCTCGCAAGTCCGATTCGGGGCTTTAACAATCACCAAATCCGGATATCTCATCACGTCAACAACTGCTTACTTTGAATAGGACAGCACAACACCTCAAAGTACCCTTTCGATATTCACTGCATGCCCGCTCACCTTCTTGAATTCGAGTATTTATCTGCCGCCAAAGCGCACTTCACGACAACGCTGCCCTAACGATCTGATTCTGGACCTCACGCGGACTCTCAAAGCCAACCTGAACTGCTTATACTCCTGAAGGCCTATACTCCTGAAGGCATCGTAGAGGTTTCACTGGCCCAATACTTTGGGCCTCGTTTTTGGTAGATGCTCGGAAGACTTCGTCAGCAGCTCTATGTGCCAACGAAGAAAGACCCGGTCTCCGCTCTCCACGCCCCCTACCTAGGCCGATCCTGGTTTACACAAATTCATACGGCTTGTGCTTACAGTTGGGAGCCGAAGCCGCTGTTCGCTGTGTCCGCAGTGGAATTAGATGGCAGATGCTTACAGATTCTCACAGCAGAGCGCTGGGAGTTACTACTTCCCACAACAGACGCAACAGCATCTTCCGAGACAACAGATCATTCGCAATACCACTCCGCCAAGCAGCATTAGACCTGTCTACAACGCCGATACTCCCTCCCCATCTCGATCGCCTGACCCTCACTCGCCCGCGCCAAATATCTACGCGATGTTCAACCAGAGTCACCAGCAAGGGCAGCATGGCCGCGTCAATGGAGGGCCTGGGCGAGGGAATATGCCAATAATGTTCAACAACTTCCAGCATCAAAACTCCCCACACCATCCTCACAATGCCCATAACACCCATACGACTCTCCAGCAAGACCATAATACGCACTCGACCAATGGAGGGATTATCGGTCATCATGCCACTTACTCATCGGGGGTATTGTCAAATGCAACGCCGAGCTTCACCCCAAACTCCCTCACAAATGGGCACTCGGGGACGACACGTGGTGGGCAAGCAGTCCAAATCTCTGAACACTGGGCAAGGCAGCTAGAGATGCACAAGGAGTCTGAGAAGGCACATGTTCACATGGCGGATGGGCACTCTCACCACTACGCTAGGATGAAGGCTGGAGAGAACAAGGGACTTGCCTTGGTTGCTCCACCAGATCCAGACACACAAGATAGCGACGAGAAGGATCTGAGCCGTATGTCGACTCAGTCCACTAAACGCCAGGATTGGTTCAATCTGGATTTTAGTGGCCAGGGTATCAAAGTACTCGCTGAACCGATCTTCCAGTACCAATTTCTGAAGAAACTATATGTGGCTTCTAATAAGCTGACGAGGCTTCCCTCCTCCATTCGGCACCTACGGTCACTACAGCACTTGGATGCCTCTAATAACCTCCTGACCGAATTGCCTCCGGAATTGGGCATGTGTGTATTTTTAGAGAATCTCCTGGTGTTCGATAACTCGATACAGACGTTGCCAAACGAGCTTGGATCCTTGTTCCATCTTGAAATGCTCGGTATCGAAGGCAATCCGCTTGCGCCAGAGTTGAAGCAGGAAATCATGGAAAGGGGTACCAAATCCCTAATCACACTGCTCCAAAATCAAGCTCCTCGTAGGTCCTGAATATTCAACACAGTTTCTTTTGCTGATTTAAACTTAGCTCCTATGCCTCCGAACAGCCGTGACAAGATCGAACTTCAAGAAGGCGAACCGAACCCCAATCAAGAGACCTTCAAAGTCTATTCCTTTAACATTCTTTCGGACCAGGCGTGCACTCGAAAGATGTACGGTTACAGCCCTGCAGAAGCTTTGGAGTGGAGCTATCGAAAGGAGTCCATTCTCACGGATATCCAGAGCAATGACGCGGATTTCGTGTGCTTACAAGAAGTTGATACGGATACTTACGAGTCGTTCTTCAGAATGCAGCTTGCTTACAATGACTACAAAGGTGCTTTCTGGGCGCGGACTCGCTCGAAGACCATGGCCGAAAAAGAAGCGGTAAAGGTTGATGGATGCGCAACATTCTGGAAGAATAGCAAGTACATACTGCTTGATAAGCAGCTTATCGATTTCGCGAACATTGCCATCAATCGACCAGATATGAAAAGCCACCACGATATTTTCAACCGGGTCATGCCGAGGGATCACATTGGAGTGGTCACGTTCTTCGAAAATAGGCAAACAGGATCCCGATTGATTCTTGTCAATACCCACATATTCTGGGATCCCGCTTACGCAGACGTCAAGCTGATCCAAACCGCTATCTTGATCGGAGAAGTCAACAAATTAGCCGAAAAATATGCGAAGTGGCCCGCGTGCAAAGACAAGAAGGCATTTGGCTTAGCCAATGAAGATGCGGACCAGGATACATCCCCAGAGCCTACGCCTCAACCATCAAGGGAGTACACGAGCAAGACTCAGATACCACTTGTGATCTGCGCCGACCAAAACTCGACTCCTGATTCGAGCGTTTTTGAGTTGCTGGCTAAGGGATCCGTCAGAGCCAAGCATCCCGAGCTTGGGGGCCGCAGTTACGGCAATTTCTCCAAAGACGGAATAGAACATCCATTCTCCTTGCGTTCGGCATACACCAACCTTGACAAGACTCCAGATGCAGTTCCGTTTACCAATTATGTACCTACATTCAAGGGTGTCATCGATCATATTTGGTATTCAACGAACGCTCTGGAAAACATCTCGCTCCTGGGCCAGGTTGACCCCGAGTACATGAAGGCAGTTCCTGGATTCCCCAACTACCACTTCCCGAGTGACCACCTGTCACTCATGGCGGAGTTTGCAGTCAAGGGCGCCAAGGGGAAGAAAGTTATCACGGAGCCTGATTTTGGCCCTTCGAGTAGGAGTAACGATCGAAGGAGGAACTAGGCCATTTTCATAGGGTAGGCAGGGAGTTCTCATGGTCATTAAGGACGGGCTTTGCTTGGAAATGGAATGAATGAATGGTGGGCACTGGTCTTGCATTGTGGATCTCTCTCTCTCTCTCTTTGCTCCTTGTATCATGCATGCGGGAAGGGTGGTGTTTTGTTGGTCTCTCTCGGCCAGGGCCGGGTCCGACACAATATGCATTGGAAGATTTCACTAGGAAGCCTTTGGCTCAATGCGAAGTGTTCTCTGGTTGCGCCTACTGTGTATCTGGATTGGGGTATCTTGTGTGATCGGGATGGGGGGGTAGACGGACGTATAAGCAGAGGTGTGTAGTCTAGTGTGGTGGCGTGTTTTGATAGGCGGCGTTCAGTCTTTCCCTGCGAGGTTATCGGTCGGTTTTGCATTTGGAGGAGATTCATTCGACTGGGAGAATGTAATCTTTCTCGCTATACCCATTCTCTTGTTTTGGTGATGTTGCCTGGACTCGGTCGTGGCTCAACTGTTGTCTGTCTGGTCTTGCATTTTGGCATCTTGCGCACCCGAAGGGCAATGAACATGAACAAGAACAACGATTTCACATTCCGTTACGTAGAAGTAGAAGGCTCGGGACTTGATCTGAGATTCTGATGGTCTGTGATGAAACAAACACTCGTCAGATGGATGGATCATGGCTCAAGCAAGCCGCATCTCGATCTTCCACCCCTTGCCTCCAAACATGTGCACAAGTACCGGTATACTGTATAGCTACCAACCAGCCAACCAACCCTCTTTCCCTCCTTCCACATCTGCACAGCCCAAATTATTTCTTTTTTAAATATTTTCTTTTTTTAATATATACATGAATTTTTTTTACGTTATTATATTTATTTCCAGCAAGTTTTGTTGCACATCGCAAGAGCCGCATGGCAAACCAGATTCCCATGGCTGCTGGCTGGGCCTGGGTTTCGGAGTGGGCCTGGCCGTGTTGCCGTGTTTTTATGGAGATATGACGGACGAGCTGGACTGGGGTACCGGTACGGTAGACATGTACATCCGGGTCACGAGTTCTCCGTAGGGCAGAACTCGGAATTTCAACGTCTCCACATTATATTGCCCCCTCTGGTCGCCGTTGTATGACCGAGGGTCTCGCCTCTCATCCCCATCCCATCCTGCTGGGCCTCGGATCGAGTAACGACTTCACTCCCTACCAGAAGCCAAATGACCTCCCAATTAACCAGAGATGACTGTTTGCAGATTTACATGTACAAGCGCTCTGAATTACCAGACACAGTCAACTTCAGAAGAAATCGATTAGGTACATTGGTGTGAGAGAGGTACAACTGACTATATACGGCTTAGACAGATATTAAGCGAGGCTGATGGAAGATCGTTTCTTCCTTCACTTCCACCTGCAACGTTACTCACGTACTCCGTACAACGCCGCAACCGTTGAGTCGAGCAAAGGGATGGATACCGAGGTACGCGTGCGATATTCCCATTCCCAGTCCCAGTCCCAGTCCCAGTCCCAGTCCCAGTCCCAGTCCCAGTCCCATTCCCAAGTACTAACTAAACATGCAGCGTGGCGTTCAGCCTCAAATCGCGGCTGCTTGCACCCACGGATACATTATAAGCAGCACTCTGCAGCTTCCACCTCTGAGCCACCACATCCCAGACACTCAAATCTCTCCTTGTCAACCCAAACACCACCTCTTTGGTAGCATTAGGCTCCAAAAACACTTTCTCAAAACTTCTAAGCTGACGAACTGGGGCAGTCGGAATCCCAAGGTACAGCTGTGCCACCTCTGCGCCTGCCACCTTCCCGGTGTTGGTAATTGACGCGGTGACATTGAACAGGACATCCCAGAGCTCTGGATGACCACCCTGAACTATGGACACGTTCGATGAAGGATATTCTCTTGTGTGAGCATCGGTCTGAGAGCTGCTGAGGGCGGAGTAAAAGAAGCTGGTATACGAGAGACCGTATCCGAACTCAAATCTCGGCTCCACCCCGTCTCGATCGAAGGCGCGGTAGTCGATGTAAACACCTTCGGTGAAATTGGACTGGGGGAATGCTGAAAATCCGTCAACAGTGGAGTTCAACACGCTTCCATAGTCCTCGTCCTTCTTGGCAATGGTGTGGATCAACCTTCCACTCGGGTTGACGTCTCCGTACAGAACGTCGACGAGACCATTACCGGATTCCTGACCAGGCAGGCCCGCGAATATAACTGCAGTTATATTTTCATGCTCAATCCAGGCATCTACGACTCTTGGACCTGCTGAGTGAAGGACGACTATAGTATTGGGATGCTTTGCAGCAACATTCAAAACCAGGTTGTCGGAAAATTCGTCCGAGAGGCTCAAGCGGTCGAACTGTTCCGACGCGTAAGCGTTTATAAATACGAGTACGACTTCGGTGTTGGCTTCTGGGACAGGATTCTGGGAGTAGAAGTCCCAACGCAGCATCCCTCGATCGGCAATCACTCGATCCTGGATGGCCTTGAACGGCGAAATAACGTAGGGGGGTGTGTTACTGCCTGAACCACCACCAACGATCAGAGTCCCATTGAAGGTTTCCCAGCCGAAGTTAACATCGTAGCCACCGCCGTAGCGAGTCGGGGTAGACCATGGAACAGGCTTGAGCTCTCCGTCATATCCAAAGATACTGACATACCGTGGTGACTTCAAGGGCCTGTACGCCACCTGGGAGTCAGTAACCGTTTTATTGGGGATGTTGCACGAGCAGAGTAAGATATGCTGAACGGGCAAAGACTCCCCTCCCAATCACTTACAGAGTATTGTTGACGTTCTTGACGAGGACATGACCTGCAGCTCCGACTTCTCGGATGAGTTTGTCATGGTCGCCCCGGACGTCCAGAATAGGATGCTGTACTGTGGGTGAGTAGATCTGGGCTTGGGGAAGGGCTGTATTCTGGTCAAGGAGATACCATGCGGCTAGGGTCCGGGTCACCATATCGTCCAAACGATCGATCGTAATGGACCCATTGGTTACTGCCTGCGTGAGATTCTTCCCCCACCATCCAGAGTCAGGCATGACGATGTCTAGGCCGGCGTTTGCAGTGCTTATTCCAGACTGCTGCGCTTGCCAATCGGAGACAACAAAACCTTCGAAGCCAAGCTCAGTCTTCAGCAATCCGTTGAGAAGTTTGGAGTTCTGGCAAGCGTAAGAGTTATTCGCTCGTTGGTAGGAGCACATAATAGCGCCGGTTCCTGCCTTGAGTGCGTTCATAAATGGCCAAAGGTAGAGTTCATGGATAGTGCGATCATCCACATTTGAAGATACTGACTCTCCAAGTGCACTGGGAAGCCGTCGGTACTCCTGCTCATTGAGCAGAAAGTGCTAGGTAAGGTCAGGGCATACCCAAATGATATCACTCGAGTGGTGGATAGGTTGATATCTTACCTTCGAGCAGGCAATCACTCCCTCGCCCTGCATACCCAGTACGATTTCCTCCATCTGCACGCCAGCGAGGTAAGGATCCGGACCTGGGCCTTCCCAATTTCTCCCTGCTCGCGTAACGCGGCCCATGCTTCCTCCCACTGGACCCAGAGCTACATTTACACCCTTGCCCTGGTATTCTTCGCCAACCGCTTTACCAAAAGCGCGCATGTAGCTCTTGTCCCAGGTCTGGGCGAGGTGCATACCTGCTGGAAAAGCGGACACGAAATCCGGGCCACGGATTCCGGACGGAGCATCCTCGAAACATAGACCGTTGAAGCCAAGACGAGGCACAGCTCCACTGTTGCCGACACACATGCCCGGGTGGCCGAGCGTCATGTTTACTTTCTCCTCGAGGGTCAGTTGAGAGACGAAGATTCGAGCCTTTTGGTAAGCCGAGGCCCATGCTGGAGACGAGGTCCCCGGTCCCTGTGCTATTTTTTGTAAGAGAGCAAAAGAGGTAGCAAACTACCAAGAGGCGTATTGTTACTCACGAGTTGGATAAACTGGAGGGCTCAGTCCATAGTAGGGGACCTCGCTTGCATTCGTCCATCCTGCAGCGGCTTGTCTCAGGAGAAACGCAGCGGTCAGTACACAGGATAGTGAGTTCTTCATTTGGTTATCTTCACAGGAGCAGGCGCCGTGAATCCATTCGTTCTGAACTTGAGAAATCTCGCATATATACCTACATATATACTCATGTTCCCCCATTTTCGTCAACTCTTGCTCCGCGTAACGAGTCCACAACGGGCCGACTTGTCTGCATCTCAACAATCCGATCCAACTGCAAAAATTCTGAATTACGTACCGCCAAGTTGATTAAAACCGGATCGGGGACCATGATATTGCTTTTCGGTAGAGCTTTCTCCCGAAGAGGTGGAGCTGCAGATCACGACAAGATGCCGAGTCATGCTTGATAGTGTTGGCAGAAGATGGGGAAAAGAGAGGCGGGGGAAAGTTAGGAATCAATCAACCGCCTTTCCTGAGTAGTGTCCAGCCCTAGAGTTGGGACAGCACCAATATCTAACGCTTCTTGTCTTTCCATCTTACAGAAGTAGCAGCGATAGAAGCGAGTCAGAGATTTAGTCGTTAAAGAAAAGATAGATGCATGGCAGATGAAGCAAAACGCTGAGATTACAACAGCAGGCAGGCGTTCGCTGGTAGATTGAGATTCGAGATCGAGCCAATTGTATAGAACGAATAACGATGGCTATGCAAATTCCTGAGCTCACTACCCACGCCACCTAGTCCTCTTGCAAGAGAGCAGTCAGCTCTGGTTTACGGATACTGAGGTCAGGTTTCGATCCAAGCTTTTGAGGTGGATCCCTTTTTCTGCTCTGAAATGTTCCGTAAACGACTTTTCTTCTGTTTGGCAAAGGGAAGTAAGTAGCTATAAGCATTTGTGTTGGATCGCCGGTAGCGATCTCTTCGTAATATTCGTAAAATTCGTGACGTCGTTAAAGTTCTTGCAATTGCAATTCACTCGGTGATAAAAGTACTTAATTGTTGTTCTTGTTAATCCTCCTCTTAGGTTTAAGGGAGCTAACTCTTTTTATACAATTAGTAGAAGGAGTCACGTGTACTAGTCTAAATAATAGGTTTATTTATAAGCAAGTTGGGGGTCCTTTGACCTGGGACAGGCTAAGCGAGGCATGCTTAATAGCCCGTGAACTTTGGTTCACGAGTGAACTCCCCCCCAACTACTACTTACTAGCTAAGGTCGATATAAATATACCGACAATTTGTGACTATGAACGCCAGGAGGTCAAAGTAGGAAGAGTTGCATGAATACATCATTGACTTCAATGTCTACGGATATCAGTTCTCGAGCCAATTTACAGCTATGAATGGTTCGGGGGGAGCTGAAATCTGGGCACCGTAACGACCCCGGATCCAGTCCAGAGCTATACATACGTAGTATATAGACAGTCCGTATATTCCAGTGAGAGATTCCTAGGGACACGTAACTTACCATTTCTTATTCCAATCCCATACCCTTTAATCTTTACTGTCACCTTTCATTTCTTTTGCGGATTATTGCACTCTCCAGGGAAAGACTTAGTCGCTGGCAACCGCACTGTATTACCAACCTGATACACTTTACTAGGCTTTACTCCTTTTGTATACAACTGTGGTGTAGCATGTCTTCGAACCCCATAGAGAGGAAGTACTTAGGGCGACAGCTATCGCCGCAACTCGCTCGACGTAGATCAATACAACCACCCACAAGAGCAGCAATCAATCCTCCGGCTGTTACCTACCTACCTGCGTACCCACGCGTCAAAAATCGATCGAGCAGACTTCTCCCGTGGCATGAAGGCAAGCCGGACGCTGCTGAGCAAGGCCGTAGAAGCACCAAGCCGCTTGAATGCAGGCTCTCTCATCAGCGCCTTGGTCATCTCGTCTACAGCTGCTGCCTCATTGACAGGGGGAAATCTACACCCGGAAAGTATCCGCCAGCCACTACACCCACCACATCTGAGGCGGGGTGGGGGTTTGGGTTTGGAGTCAGAAGTGTAGTAGGGCTCTGGGAGAGAGAGGTCCGGGATATATGGTTCCCGGAGCTTGCGATCGTGGTTTACCGACTTCGCTGCGAGGGTTGCATCGGGACGAGGTCGAGGATCACCTTGTTGCTAGCTTCAAGCGAAGCTAGTGTTTTGGGTTCGTGTCGGTACGGCAATAGGTATCGACCCAGCTTGGTTGGGGCCGGCTCGCTTGCATGAGCGTGCCTCGCTTACCTGGACATCTTAGCGTGGCATACCCTCAGGGGCCCCCAACTTCCTCACAAATAGACTATTACATAGCTAGTCCCGTGATCCCTTCTAATCATATAGAAGGAATCCACTCCCCCGAACCTCGGGGGGCAGACAGGAATCCGATTCCATTCTGACCGACAGTCTTGCAATTGCAAGAAGCTGCGTGCGCTGCACGCTGGTTCGCTACCGGCGGTCCAGCAGTGAGCGATTTCATACATTCGCGTATATCCATCTCGGACCTTTCGCTTTGGGCTATGGCTTTTCTAGATGGGGTATTATGGAGACTAGATGGGGTTGCTTTTGCATGGGGTTCCATCCACGCGGATATCCATTAAATCGTGGGCTTCTTGGATCGCGGATGAACTGTCTTGGAGTCCGTCGGTGAATTGGCTAATCCACCGCAAGCCAGGAGCAATTTCAGAGAGAACTCTTGGGAGCAGCGTAAGGCGGCGGGGGGGTTTTGAGGAAACCTGGTTATCACACCTCAGCCAAAGTCCCTAGAGCCTTGTTGCATTCGTGTTTGGAATCCACATGCGCGGTAGATACTCTTCCACGATCTGTCCGCGTCTCGAAGAACTAGCACCAATTTGGCATTGGGGTCAATCTCAAGCAGCTCCGGTACGAGAAGAAAAACACTTGGATAATCGCGGAAACCGACGTATCCTGTAAGACGCTCTCTCACAAGTCTCATCCCATCGTCAGTTCTTTCTCGCCAGCGAGTTTGGCTTGTAGTAATGCGTGTCCAGATGCGATGATTCCCTATGATAATAGTTGAATTACAGTTCAGCCGGAGGGGTGCGGTAAGGAGAGTGCGGTAACCCCTCTCTCTGTTCCGGACATCAAGTTATGAATATGATCTGGCTGCGTTAGCTACAGGAATATGAGAAATGTGACTACTTGTGTTTCTCGCTAGACTGGTGCGCGCTTCATCTGAGTTGTTGCACAGCAGTAGCAAATCCCCCTCCCCTTTTGGGGGGGGGGGACGATGACAGCCGAAGAAACACCCCGATTGATTGGCGAACCTGTGTTTACGACCTGCCTTGGCGGGCAAGCGAGTCGAGGCCACACAGCCCGTGTAACCTGCACGCAAATGCCCTTCCGCGCTTCGAAAGATAAGCCAACGCGGTGGTGTGAGCTTAGCGGGAGTGGATGGCAGATTGGTGTCGGACGACGCTGGGGATTCAGATCTGGTGGGTGGGGGAGAAGCTACATACTGGTTTGAGCGGTTGTGTCTGGACTTCGCACGTTGCACGTTGCACGCTATGCGTGAATCGAAAGCTTGATCTGGCCGTGGCTTGCTTCGCTTCGGCTGGCACACTAGGATCTCAATACAAATGTAGATGTAAATTCCCTGTGCGCAGGTGGACACGAATATTCTGGGATGGGTGACGGGTGACCTCCGCGAATCCCTCTTCAACAAGGTCCAAGGGCTCGTTTGTTCCTTGGCCTTCTCAATCAGTGAGGCTTTCATCCATAGACAGACAGCATGACTGTAGCCAAGTCGGGCACAGCCGTGGCAAGTGATGGTACAGGAGGACTTACTATGTAACATACCAGTGGATGTCTGTTCTCCTGTAACCATTCCTAGCCTCGGCACATAGCCCGTCGATCTCTTCACGAGAGAAGCCTGCTCGAGAGAGAAGTTACCTGTACCCATCCAACACCATGAGACCGGCATTTTTCATATACAAGCCCTGCTTCTTCATGCTGCGATCTCTCGGCCACGGACTCCCAGGCACCTCGTACACATCCTCCTTCACGTCGACGAACCCAGCTAGCTTCAGCGTGTGTTATCCAGAGACTATCGTGATCCTACGAGAGGGATGCAATACCGTTTATTTAAGATGAGAGATAGACACGTTCATTTGGGACTGATATGGCGATGATAAAAAATTGTGGGAGAGAACATCCAATTTTGCAAATGACAACTCAATCTCCCGAGCCATTTTAGTTTATTTTGCACGGGCCTAAAAAGAAGCCTTGCCCAGCTCCTCGCCCCGGTCAGCAGCAGCCTTCATAGCCTTACCAACAATATCCTCCAATCCCGAGTCCTTGAAGCTGTTCAACGCAGCCTCGGTCGTTCCCTTGGGACTAGTGACGTTCTTTCGCAGCTGTCCAGGAGTCTCCTCAGACTCAACCAGCATTCGTCCAGCACCAAGGCAAGTCTGCTTCGCAAGGCGCTCAGCTTGCTCTCGCGGCAAGCCCAGGGCCGTCGCGCTCGCCACCATGTGCTCGACGAGCGCAAAGAAGTACGCCGGGCCAGAGCCTGCGAGATCAGTCAGCATGGAGAAACGCACCGGCCGAGTGCCACCGGCAGGAAAGGAGATGCGCGTATACCTGACAGCGCGGTCACGACATCGATCAACTCCTCCTCCTCGACCCATTCCGAAACCTTGCTGAAGCCCTCCAAGAGGGCCGTCACCAGCCTCTTCTCCCCCTCCGTCACGCCCTTTCCCGCAAACGACCCGCTGGCACCCTCACCCAGCAGGGCAGGCGTGTTGGGCATCACGCGCACAACCTTGGGCGCGCGTCCGTCCGCACCCGTGAACCACTTCGTCAGAGCATCCACGGGGAGACCAGCGCAGATCGATACGATGAGCGGCAAGTCTTTCTCCCCAGCCTTGCTCCACTCGAGAGCGAGATCCTCGCAGACGCCCTTGGCGACTTGCGGCTTCACGGCGAGGACGAGGAGATCCGCGCCGGCTGAAGCTTCGGCGTTGGAGGTGGTGGTGCGCACCTTGAGGGTGGATTCGAGCTTCTGGCGGGTGCCTTCGAAGGGGTCGGAGACGACGATGTTTTCTTTCGTGGTGCTTCCCTTAGCGAGGAGACCACCGATGATGGCAGCCCCCATGTTCCCTCCGCCGATGAAGCAGAGTTTGCAGTCTTGGATTTGTGAAGGCGCCATTTTCTTCTAGGGGCGCACCGGATACGTTCAAGGTGTATGTGTAGAGGAAGAGAACAATGATCTGGGTGATGGGCAGTTTTTGGTGTTGACTTGTGATGCAAGGTGAAGAAAGCTTGATGGGTTGTTTTCATGTAGTTGAAGATTTGGCGCTCACGTGGCTATTTCGATATCAACGACAGGCAACCAGGAAGAGCCGAGTGATTAGCATTAAATTTGCTTTCTAGGGGGTGTATATAAGTATATTAGGATCTAAACTTATGTAAAATGATCCTAAAAGGGAGTTTTACTAATGATGTATTCGATCACGTGTTATAGAAGCAACACTTCTTCCTAACTGCCCGGGAGTCTATGTATCATTTCATTCGGGCTCGAATCCGGCAATTATATGTTAGGCCTTGTATTTCTAAGCGAACTGAATGAGGCCAAAAAATAATGGTCCATGGAGTCGGGGTGGAAACTTCTCCTCAACCACCCCCGTGGTACTAGAGAGAGTACTAGAAGACCCAGCAGTGCGTTCGTGGGAATTTACCATGGAACAGTGAAACAGGTATAGCTTGATTATTTCCCAGCGAGAATTTGCTAATTGAGCAACGATATTCTGAACACATCTTCTGATCAGATTCGCTTAATCAAAGAGGTAAGGACAGCAACATACTGGTGTTCCAGAAACAATTGAAAAGGCAAAACATCGAAAATACGGAGAAGCAAGCCTCATTCTCTAGAGCGGCGACACAATCACTCGCTGAGATTCATCACCTTATTGGAAAAGAGGACGAGGAACGTATTTATCTGTGCTATATATTAAAAAGTCGTAGCGGCCCCAGCTTCGCTTAGCTCGACCGACCCCTTTTCAGATCCAAATCCTAACCCAAACCCACGTCCATCGATCACTTGCCCATCTCCCGCTCCCGCAAGCAATGAAGCAGCTAGTTATCTCTATTTCAAACCACAAGTAAATGAGTCCAATCTCACACACATCGCTACCCTCTGAACCCCCCCCCCCCCCCCTCCTTACAAACTCACCTCCTACCATTCAATTCCTCGCTCTCATTAGCCCAGCCGAAAATACCAGCAGCTCCATCCGATAGACTCAATGAACAAAAACACGCACACAATACATCACTTCAAGAAAGAGCCTGCACCTGCACCATCCAGCTCGAGATCTACTTACTCACTTACTTACTTGCTCATATCGGCAATCACCAACGAAAGCCCGGATGCGTAAAAGTGCAACGGATAGATGCACGTGGATGATTAGGTTATGAGCAGCTAGCTGGCTTGAGAAGCCGAGACTTGACTTCTCGGTTCGTGCGTTCCTCAAGTACGGAGAGCTAGTTGGCAGGCGTGGGAACTAAACAGGAAGAGTCTCGCTTGAGCTATATCATGGTATGTATCTTGGATATACAACACGAGTTGAGGTGCAGGAGGAAGACGAAGAAGGGAAAGAGAAGGGATGGATGGATAAATAAATACTTGCGGAGGAGAGACGATGCGATCGGAGGAGAGCAGGTATTGAATCGGCGCCGACCGCACTGAGTATTAGAAAAAGAGAGAGAGAGGGAGTCATGCTAGAAGTATCGATGATGACAACAATGACGATGATGATGATGATGATGGATAATGCATAAAAAACATGCGAAAACAACAGACCGACCAACGCATCATCATCCTCATCGTCACCCTCCTCCTCCTCCTCCTCCTCCTCCTCGTCGTCGTCGTCGTCGTCGTCCCAACTCCCTCCGCAAGACGCAAAGCGCGCCAAAACAATCGCGAAACACCCCCTCATCCCATCCCATCCTCCCCGCGACAAAAAGCAAAGACGGCGAGCAGGAGGGGACCTTCTCCTCCGCTCTACTGTATAGCCTGTATGCACGCATGCATGACATGCACAGTACCGGTACCTACCTATGTGCATCAGGACGCAGAAACAAAAATCGGAAACACAGACTCCGTACATGCCCCATCCCCCTCCTTCTTTTCCCCACGGGGGAGCGGAAGCGAAGAAAAGCAAAGAAAAGATCAACACCAAGCCCCAGCAATCCCGCCTTTAAACCATTTCCCCCCCCTCTTGGGTCTCTCCGCACATGTCCAGATCCAGATCCAGATCCGTATCCATACCCAGATCCATACCCATACCCTCGGTCCGGTCAAACGCGCCAAACATGTATTTGTGCAGGCATACGTATTATTCAGCTCATTGCGTGTCCATCCGCTCGCCGCCCATCCATCCATCCATCCATTCGTATACTCGTTCCCTCGCGTTTCGAAACTGCTCACGGGCCCCTCTCTCCCTCTCTTTCCCCCTTTCCATCTCTCCCTCTCCCGTATCCGTTCACGCGCCCGTTCGCTCTTTTCGTTTAGCTACGGGAGGTAGGCCAGGTACCGGTAGTGAGCGCAAGCCTAGGTAGGTATCTAAATATAAATACACATATAAATAAACATATATATATAAATAAATAAGATTAAACTTTTCTTTTTATAGATTTCCCCCGCCTCGCTTACCCACGCACCCACCCACGCTAGCTGAGTCCCCTCCAAGCCCCCGCGCCACGACGTACAGTAAGTAGGTAGTACCGGTAAAGCTGCAATGTTGTACGCAGAGGCAAATGAAAGAATCCGATTCTGACTCGGACCCGACCTAAATGCGGAACGTGGAAAGGAGAAAAAGAAAGACGCAGGATTAGGAGTAATAATCATAATAGTAATAATGAAAAAAGGGACCCGAGGTACCTCACCTCACCCGAAGCGACGGCGTCGGCGTCGGCGACGCGGGACGCGGGACGCGGGACGCGGGACGGGACGGAGTGGCATGGGCACTAGACCGACTAGACTCGTACGGAAATCCGACGTCTGCACGACGTAAGCTGGATAGGTAGCCGCAGCAGAGACGCGTCGGCTCGGAACAGCGAGCGAGCGAGCGAGCCGCGTTCATACGTACTGACTGATGTACTGACGTGCTGACGTACCGACGTACTGATGTACTTACGTACCTGGGCACGTGCTGCGCAATACCGATAGGTAGGTGCGGAGACACTCGGAAGGACGGGACGGGACGGGAGGGGAGGGGACGGGTTGAGAAAGGTAGGTAATAGGTAGAGGATCGATCGTATTCGAATACGGCTGTCAAAGTGTCAAGTCACGTCATTGATGCGTGGCTCTGTCACTGACGAGAGGCTTTTCCGAAACGGCATGAGGTGATGAATGCCATGTCGGGAGCGAAGCGGCTCTGCGAATTTCTCATGTCAAAGATAAAATGAGGATTCATCACGAGAGAACAGCGTGTGTTGGCATAAAAATAGTGTCTTGGATTGGTGTCTTTCTCTAGCTGGAGCGACACAACCGTAAATGTGAAATGCAGCTAGCTGCTTCTCCTCCACATGAAATGTAATAGCATCATCTTTTGGATATCATACAAATTTCTACCCTGCGAAAAATGAAAGAAGAGCGGGAGAAAACGCTAGCCGAAAAAAATGCTGCAAACCAATGCTTGCTCCAGCAGAAAACACACCCCTATGCATCGTGGTCGTAATGGCCAAGAGGCCAAAGGAGAGCGTCGTTGTCGACCTCTTTGCGCCCGCATCAACAGCATCAAAGTCCCTCTCCCCTTTGGGGTGGGCAGCTGCAATGCAGAACGCGCATCTCATGCCAAGTCTAATGCTCTCTCCTACACTCCTGATCATTCCCTCAAGTTTCTAAACAGCAGATGCGATGACATCACTGAAGCCACAATATCGAGTCAGGAGATCCGAATTCAGGGATTGACAGAAACCCCTCCCGTACTTTCTTGGACCGACAGATTGCGGCGCCTGGTGAGTGGACGTTGGGCATTGTGGCTTGCAGGGGAGTTACCCCGTGGAGATCTTGCCGAGGCCGCGAGGTAGTGTCACGTGTGGACGTTTTTTCCCGGGGTAGTATCGGGTGTGGGGTTTTAGGGTTTGGTGTCGTTTGTAGATATTCTTGGTTTTGGTATCGTGAGATGGGGTGGAGGGCGTTTTGTTGAAGTTGGTTGGTATCAAGGTCCTTTCCGGTACTTGATCCCAGCCCGGTCGTTCGAGAACTTCTTTCCTTTCCACGCGGCATCATCGTTACGACTCTGCTGTCCCTGAGGTCGGTCCCTCTTTCACTTGTAGCCCACCATGCGTGCGCATCGATCACAGTAGTAGAGGTTGTGGCCAAATCTGACCATGCCTGATGCCTCAGCATCATCTGGGCCGACCCTCCCGGATCTTGAAGTGACGATGGTCTCGACGCACTTCGCACAGCGCGAGCAGCGCATAACCTCGACCCGTGCGTAAGAGGTGTTCGTGTTCAATGCGTAGGCGATGGCCGACTCCGAGTAGGAGGGCGAGCTACTGGCGGAGGATGAGGAGGAGTCGGACGAGGTGGAGGTTCGCGTAGTTGGTCGATGAGGAGAGGCAGTGCGGATGCTGCGGGTGGCCTCGTTCTGCACTTGATAGTGTCGAGGGCTCATGGTGGTTGGATGCTCTGTTCTCGACGGCGGATGTAGGTTTGCCTGGAGCGGGGCGGGGACCCTGATATTTAATCTGCGCAGGTGGATGTGGAAGTGGATAGTTGTGGATGTTGGATGTGGATGTGGATGTGGGATGTGGATGTAGGTAGATGTGAGAAGAAGGTCAAGACGGGGGGGTTAAAGTTTATATGAATTGCAAGGTCGAGCGAGTGCGAGTGCGAGTCCCTCTGTGCACAGCCAGGATCCCAAGCAAGGGCAACAGGGCACCAGGACACCACCAGGGCACCACCAGGGCAGGGCACCGAGGCAAAAGGGCAAAAGGGCAAAAGGGCGAAAGGGCAAAAGGCAAAAAGGGCAAAAGGCAAAAAGGGCAAAAAAGGGCAAAAAAGGGCAAAAAAGGGCAAAAAAGGGCAAAAAAGGGCAAAAAGGGCAAAAGGCAAAAAGGGCCAAAGAGCCCAAGAGCCGACTCCAAGAGAGTCCAAACGCCCAGCCCAAGAGCCCAACCAGGACATCGATAGTAGATCGACGATCGTTGATCTTCTATCCAGCTCCCGATCAGTATTCCACTTGGCAGGGCTGGAAAACCGGGGCCGCCAAGCTTTTTCGCGAGCCGGGCACTCGGGGACTCGGGAGAGACGGGGTCTGATTTGCCCGACGGGCCCGAGAGTCGTTTACTTCGATTAACAATGCGATTGTGAGTTAGACAGACCGAAAGCTAGAAGTACTTGGGACTCGGGACTGTGGACTGTGGACTTGGCTTCTTACGGCCTGACTTCTGCACGGTACACGTGGTTCTTTGTTTCTCACGTGGAGGAGAGTTCTTTCTGCTTCTAGAGCATCTTACTGACCACCATAAAAAAATAAAAAAAAAGGACCTCCATCCCGTCGCTCTTGACCATAGGAGATTGCCCTTCCCCCTTCCCCCTCGCCCCCCCCCCCCTATTCTGAAGTTCCTAAAATGAACCTCCTAAAATGAACCTCATGCACCCAGCAGCGTCTCCTCTCCATCCATCATCTATCTCCAGCCCAGCCCACACGAGGGATCGAAGCAAGATCCTTGCATCTTCCAGCTTACTCACACCCGTCTGGACCCCTATCCTCCCTGACTCGACCGCAACGCAACGCCCAAAAACAAGCAAGCATGCCCGATATCCGAAGCGAGAAAATTACTACAAACGGCGAAGAAACAAAACACAAACCCCGATTGACCTTCTGAGAAAATTAACAACGGAAGGGTAAGCGCATCGAAAGCAGAAACGAAAAAACCTTTTCCACTTCTTCCCCCCCCGCACCGCCCCCGGCCCAACCCATCATCCAGACCGGTCCAGACCAACCCCGAGATCCGAGTGCCACGCGCGATAGAGGGACATCGCAGGGCCCAAGCCAGCCAGCCAGCCAGCCAGCCTTTCTTTCTCGGCGAGAGAGGAATCTGCAGCTGGACTGCCGGCTCTCTCGCTTTCAACTGCCTGTACCTGTCGGAGTCATTCTGCGTGACATCCCCTCCTCGGGCCCACCGGGCGTTGCGTTCTGGACGTCGTCGTTGCCTTCTAAACGTGGTGAAAGGGACGGGACTTGAGCTAGATCCCGGGTTTGTTGTGAACGGCCTTGTCGGTTCTTGTCGGAAACCGGAGGCTTTCGCGTACCCAATCGACGATTAAATCCTTCTCGAGCAAGCGCAGATCGAATCGCATCTTTCCCTACTCCGAAATCCAATTCAGCTGCAAGCTTCTCGTAAGACATACGTCGGTTTTCTTTAGATGCACAGATAAAATCGATCAGCTCTTCAACTTGAGCTTGCGTTAACAAGGGAGGTCTTCCAGTTCTTTTTTTCGGCGTAGATGGTCTTCCTGATCGAATCGCATATCGAATTTGCGACAATGTTGGCTTGAATTGAAGATGGGCTTGTATTTGCTTAAAAGACCAACCGATTTCTTTCAAAAGGCATATATCTCGGCGCTGATCGCGAGTAAGATCTGGAGCTTTCGGCCGTAGGGTACCGGTAGTCGAAGGCTGGGAGGTAGTCGAAGGCTGGGAGGTAGTCGAAGGCTGTAAGGTGGGCGAAGGCTGTAAGGTGGGCGACGGCTGTAAAGCGGCCGAAGGCTCTAAGGGGGGCGAGGGCTCAGGAGAATGCGGCAAAGCATCCGCGCATTGATCTGGAAGGTCGAGTGACATTGTATCGATGCTCCAATTCAAGAACCAGCGTTCGAATACAGCTGTTGAGGCATTTTACGGGGAGCGGAGGTACGGACGGCGGTTAAGTGTTGTGACCCTCACCGCCCCCCATCCACTATTCCTAACCCAATCTGGGCCAGTAACGGTGACCATAAGGGGTTCTCGAAGAATCCCATCTTGGCAGAAGCCCAATCAGGTTAAGAAAAGTGGCTGTGGGGCGGTGACGAGGGTTGCAACAGTTAGCCGCTGTACCTCCGTAACGATGCTGATCGATTAGGTAAAGCGTCCCGTACCCCTCGGTTGACACGGAACAATACTTACCCGCTGCAGTCCCGACCCACCCGTCCGTCCATGGAGACCCGAGCGCAGAAGTTCAGGCTAATACCTACTGTAAATAACGCTTTCTCTCCGTACCCTACGTACAGCTCCGTCCGTGTGTAGCTCTACCATAGTTGACTATTGTTTCACCATCATAGTAGTAACACGGGCTCGGGGTTTATTGCGTTCGGCGTCCAGGGGTAGTACTAAATGCTATTTGCTACTGTAGCTGGCTCTTCTACCTTCCTTTTCCTCTTCCCCTTTGTTCTCCTCCTTCTCTCCTTCCTCTTCTTAACTAGCCACTTCTGCCGCACGCACTCTGATGTCCAGCTACTACTATCTACTACAGTGTCAATAGCGCGTAGCCTTGCCTTGCCTTGCCTTGCCTCGCCTTGCCTTGCCTTTCCATGCCTTGCGGTAACAAGCAATATCAAGCAATAACAGATAATGAATTCCTCGGTAAACAAACCAACCAATGGAGAGATAAAAAAATGTTTAGATCCGCCCTTACTTGGATGCTTACCGCTCGCTATATCGTTATCTCCTCTGCTCTCTCTCTCTCCCCAATTACTTTCCACACTCCCCCCCTCTTCTGCTCTACCTACCCTACCCAACCACTACTCCGTAAGCTACGTGCGAGGCCGCGAGAATCGTCTGTCAAGCGGTGGTGTGGTGCAAGGCAACGCAACGCGATTCAATCTGGCTTTCGCTCCGCCGTTCCCCTGACCAAACCGCTGCAGAAGTAGCTGTAGAACGGTCAGATGTGTTGCAATGCTGCCAATTTAATCGAGAATACTTGGCTGAGAGAGAGACTGAGAGAGAGAGAGAGAGAGAGAGAGAGAGCTGGCGGACAGATCACATCCAGGGACATCAGGCCTCCTCTCTCCTCCATTTCCACTCTCACGAGTCGTCACTTGAGGAAGACTGCTGATAAGGCACGTGAGCAAAATAGGAAAGCAAACTACCATGGAGAAGAAAAACACCATGTCGTGAACGGTAAGGCAACGGGATGGGTAACGCCTTTAGACCCCCCGATTTTTATATACAATGCTTTCGCGAAACCTCTCGTCGCCCTTCACTCTCCTCGCTTACTGTCCACAACTCAAGAGCGAAAATCAAAAGTGCTACGCTAAGAGTCAAAAGAACAATACATGTACAATAACGCTCTGTAGCTCTTCAAAAAGCCACCCAGCATAAGCACAGATTTTGTTCGAGGGAGGGCCGTCTCCACTTGACGGTCTCGAAATGGTATCAACAAACATCGATCATCCAATCCGCTCTCGAAGCGCTCCGCCTCTCCGCCGCTGCTCCGCCGCTCATTCGAGCCCCTCTACAACTAGCAGCCTCCTCCTATCGATCTTAGTCAACATGTACAAGGAAACTGGCAGCGTCCACAGCTCCCGGGGAATCAATGCGGCCCACCACCACCTCTCAGCAGTCCAGCAAAGGAAAAACGCAGCACCAAGGAAAGACGTTATTTCGTGATAGTAGATAGTACGGCTAGTTCTCCTGCTTCGGCCAAAGGAAAGGAAAATATGTGCTGTCCGTCGAGACAAGATGTATGTATGCATTGCGCGCCCCTGTTTGCCCAATAAACCTCAAGGAATCGAGAGTCCAGAAAACGGGAAGCTGGCACCACCCGCAGAGCATGGAGAACGGCAGGCGTGCAGAAACAAAGGCGTCGTCGCTCAGGCGCTAATGACAATTGGTAGAAATTTCCAAATTTCTTTATTGACAAAAGAAATGGGAAAGGGTGCTCCATCTGTAGGCGGAGCATTAAATTACATTACAACACAACATCTGCAGCCACCCCTTTTCCAGTTATCGGGGCGCTCTTGCATCCTCATTGGCGGGTTGGGACTGGGAAGAGGTCCTACACCCATGGGTATGCCAGTACCACCAGTATGGATTCTAGGCATTGTCGAGTAGCTTCCGTTTCCTGCTGTCCCTGGACGTCCTGAACTTAGACCGGGACTTACTGGACTCAGACTGGGACTTCCTGGATTTAGACCGGGACTTCTTTGACTTAGACCGGGACTTCTTGGACTTAGACCGGGACTTCTTGGACTTAGACCGGGACTTCCTGGACTCAGACCGGGACTTCCTGGATTTAGATCGGAACTTCCTGGACTTAGATCGGGACTTCTGGGATTTTGTAGTGGCCAGTTGGTCCTGGGAGCAGGCTCCTCTGCCTTCTTCTCTGCTTCCGCGGGCGCCTGAGGTTCAACTGACCGAGATAATGGTTCATTGTTCAAAGGTCGGAAGTCTGTATCATAGGTATTGCCGAATTTTCCTTCCTTTTCCCACTGCTCTTGTTGTAAACGCTTGGCTACCGTCGGCAAAAGTTGTTGATCGGGTGGCAGTCGGGGATCCGGCTTGAACATTGTGGCCAGCCACGGGGGGTCTCCTTCGGGGCGTTTGCTGGTATTGGTGCTTGGGCCCGAATCCCCGGCTCGTGTTTGTGGTCTGGATATCGTGTTGGTTTGGTTAGAGCTGGACCTCGTCTTCGGCCTTTGAGTAGGGGCGCCACGGCTGGTGGGTACTGACCCTTTACGTAAGGGGGCCTTCTTGGTTGGAGAGTTCTCAGATGTCAATCGTTTGGCGGGGGTCGGAGTCGCTGCTGCTTCTTCTTGGACCTTGATGCTTTGACTCCGGCCGCGGGACTTTGGGTATGATATTGACTCGTCATCTGCTGTCAACCCACCGCCTGGAGTTCTCCGTATTGGGGTGTCTCGCTCCAGGTGTTGAAGTGGTATCGGGAGAGGACTGGCCTTCAGAACTGGTATCCGAGACACGGCCTTCACGCCTCCACTAACGTCTTGTGGATAGTCCACTTGCTCTGCAGCAGCTTCTTCTGGTGTCCGCAAATCCCAAGCATTACTTTGCGGGGCCTCTTCTTCATCAGTTGGAAATGAACCACGCTGCAGTTTTTGTGCTTGCTCGCTTCTTAAACCATTCGCCTGTGGGTCTCGACTGTGTTCTCGACGACTTGATCTGCTAGCAGCTCGCGACCGAGGAAGAATAAGACCGGCAGCCTGAAGTTCTTGACTCTCGATACGCGCAAGTTTGTCCCGGTGTATCCAACGCGATCTCTCTGGATCGTCGTCCTCAGATGCCTCCTTGGCTGGCTCTACTTCGCCATGATCCATGCCATTAATCCCGCTTCTGTTTGGCCCGTACAAGTCGAGCAGACTGTCCGGCGCACTCCCATTGTCGCTGATATTACCATCATTGCGGCTGAAGGCATTGATTCGTGCAGGCGCCAGATGGACTGTTTCTGTAGATCGGGAGGGGATATAATCGGGTTTTCGCTGGGAGAGTTCTGTGCGGGATGTTGACCTAGCGAGGCCGTGTCCGTTTGTATTTGATAGGGGTGGTCGATTAGATTTCGCCGCCTCTGATGAGGTTGCCTGTAGGAAATTTGGATCAGTACTTTTTCATAGCAGAGTATTCACAGCAGAGGGGACGACAGAGGCTCGGGTCCTATTACTGACATCTAAGTGTGTCGGTACAGAAAAGTTCCAGGAATTTTGACCTCCGTGCGACCTGCTGGGAGGTCTCAAGCTAGAGGCTTGCGGCGCAGAGGCCGCAGCCATCCTGCTCTCTGGTAGACCGAACTTAAAGGTATCAATCTTGCTGGCTGGACGGGTTTGAGGGGTGCTGGAGAAGACCTGTCCACAAGGGAGGAGCGGCGTGGCTTCGAATAGCCAGGTTTGTTTTGATTGTATTCGTCGGTCTCAAGATGTCTTCAGGAGCAAAGAGGGGACTTTTGGACGTGGGAGGGAGACAGAGGGAATGAATCGCTGGCAGGTCTCTCTCTTTTTTTTTTTTTGGTCTTGCGCGCCTCGCGAGGGTGGAATCAATGCATTAAAGCGCAATTCCTGCAGCAATATCAAGGACGCACACTTAATAGGAGCACGAGTTGGTCAGCACGAGGACGTGCGTGGAGTGATGTCGAGGTAGGGCCTGATGCGATGGCGATGGCGATGGCGATGGGGTGCAAGGAATTTGCCCGGGAAAGAATGAAATCGACGCGCTCGTTGGCAGTGGTGACAGTGGTGGAAGTGGTGGTTGCTGAGGGGAATTTCGAGATTGAGTTCAGGTTGGATTTATTTGCGGAAGGGTGCAGTGCGGTGCGGGGACAAATAAAGAAGCAGGAGCAGGATTAGGGTGGTTGGTTAGCGTGATAGGGTGATAGGGTGATAGGGTGATAGCGGGATAGCGGGATATGGTAGTTGATCGTCCTGGATGAAGAAGATGAGGCTCTGCTGAAAGGTGATGGTGGATCGGATCGGATCAATGTCCTTCCTTGTCCGCTCCGGAAATACTAGGTAATAAGCGATGGGCCCCCAGACCAGACCGGACCAGAACCACAACCACAACCACTACCACTACCACTACCACTACCACAACCACAACCACAACCACAACCAGAAATGCCGAGAGGTCGGTTGTTAACAAAACAGTACACGGTCCAACGCAATCTACTACGTATGACAGTAATTTCTGATAACTTAACCTATCTACCATGCATAGGTCGGTACCGTACCCACTCTCCGCATGGAACATTCCTACTCAGCCCTGCCGATGTTTATTTGCACTACCCGCTATACAATACGACATCTGGTAAATCTTCTCACGAGCACATGGCACACGGCACATCCGCTGCCAGGTCAGGCCAGTGAGTAAGGTGCTTAGGTAGGCAGGCAATGGTGCCTCTCTCCTTTATTCCACGTCAGCAAATTATCTGTCGGTACCCTGACGTGGGCTCTCGTGGTGCTCTCAACTCCAACCAACTATGACAGAGTCGAAACTTTGTAAGACCAGGTTCGTCATTCTCTCAGATACCCACAATGCCCTCCCAGGAGGTGCATTCAAGCTTCCTAAGGGCGACGTCCTGATACATGCTGGGGACATGACCAACCAGGGCTCCTATTCAGAGCTGCTGAAAACCGTCCAATGGCTCGAGGAAGCAGATTTCGAAGCAAAGATTGTCATTGCAGGTAAGATGACCTTCGCTCCATAGCACGCGGTCCACAGAGCTAACACTAGAAGGAAACCATGACATTACACTCGACTCGGACTTCTATTCTCAGTACGGTCTACACTTTCACAACCAAGACCCACAGGATACAGCAAGATGCCAAGCGCTGTTGGACAACTCCCCCTCTGTTCTGTGGCTGAAGCATGAAGCTGCCGTAGTCAAACTCAAATCGCCGTCTGGTCCTCACACAGGTTTCAAGATATTCGGGTCGCCTCTCTCTCCGGCAGATGGCATGTGGGCATTTGGATATAGAGTACAAGAGGCGGCACAGATTTGGGAAAATATACCTCTGGACTCGGACATTGTCGTAACACATACTCCTCCAAAACATCATTGTGATGAAAGAAAAGACCGCAGAGCTGCGGGATGCGGAGCCTTACGGAATGCACTTTGGAGAGTCAGGCCACGGATGGCGATCTGTGGGCATGTGCATGAAGGTCGAGGCGTGGAGCGTGTGCGCTGGGATTTATCAGGGCCGAATATCAAGTTCAAAGAAGGCACGGTGGAGCGATGGGAAGATCCGGGCTTGAATAACAAGAAAATCTCGTTGGTTGATCTCACAATCAAGGGACGAAAGCCTATCGATAACGATGGGTTTGCCGGGGATTTTGCATCACATGCGCGAAATACGGGTGCCACGGCTATCCAATTCCCTGGGCCGGCTCTGGTTATGGCCGAAGAAAAGCTGGGGGTCTCGCACTGGTCACAACCACGGCCCGCTACAGAACCGAGACTTTCACCGATGACAGCAAGTCTGCTTGCTGCTCTGCCAGACCTACCACCTGCCACTCGTGGTCAAGGAGGTGTTCCCCCTTCCCCGAGGTGCGATTTGGAGGCTTTATCTGGCAGGATGGGTCGTCGGGAGACATGCATCATTAACGCAGCTATCGTGAAGTCAAGCTGGCCGCATGCGGGTGGAAGGAAGTTTAATAAGCCCATAGTTGTGGACATAGATTTGCCCGTTTGGGAAAAATAAAATGAAAAGAAGGACCTCGTGCAGATGGCCGTCTCAAGCATTCAATATCACCTCTGGAGAGAAGAGCTCCTGCGGCTGCGGAGACAGGACGTAAGGGAAAGATTTTGAGTGGTGAGATAATTGCTCCGACGGCTCTCCGATAAAGTAGGTGCAGTGCGATTCTAAGATGGTCGTGCCACTGGGCATCTTCCCTGAAGTGAATACACCCAAGTCCTGTTCCAATTTATCTATTCATTTACGTCTGGATCCTGCTGAGCTATGGACGGCTTGGCCGTAGACCGACTATTTGGATATGAAAATTACTTCCAGGCCCAGGATTCTTGAGATCTTCCTCATCTACCGCGCCCAGGCTATTACTTATCATTCCCGAGTCCCTACTGTACTGAGTTTTCGGCTTTCAGTAATTACTCATATGATTATCCTCCACCGGTTCCCCTTTCCCATCCATCCCCATGCATCTCCCAAGACCTCTCTTATCTCCAAAGCGAATTTCAAATCGGGCCAGAGCAGCTAGCTTCAGCGTGTTCGACACTTCTTCTTACTCAAAGAGCCGTACGTAGAGCAAGTCTACCGCGGAACGTAGTAGGAACGAGTCCCCCTAGCCAACTTGCCCACCTACGTCGCCAAATCTTCCTTCCGGACATGCTTCTACCGTATCTCTCGAAATCTAGCTAATCAATTTACGATTTTATTAAAGGTGGGAGGGGGAAGCGTTGATATCATAACCATCCGTGCCTCCCTTCAAGCCACGAGGGCACAACTCCCTTTCTTTAATACGTACCTTGAAAGGGGAATGCAAGGGCTTTCAAACGGTTAGCTGATCGTCTGATAACTATCTCGTTTAAAAACGATCTTAATAAATCGGCATAATTAACAGATCACTTCAAGCCGATGCGTAAAATTAAATAGAATTTAAAAACAAACGATTAAAATGATCTACATCGGAGCTAAAATCGAACCCATTTATTCGATTAAAAATCATCTTTTTTACACGCTCGTCTTTTTCGTATCAAAACCGTCTTGGGATCGTTTTCGAGCGTTTTTAAGACCGTCTTATAGCCGTTTTAAAGCCGTGCCCGAACTTGGAACTGTTTTAAAGAATGTAGATTAGTAAGTAGAGAATCTTTTGGTTATTTGCTTGTCTACTTTCTATTACTTATACTTACTACCGCTTATAAAACGATCTTTAAATTGAGTAGATGAACTTTTATTAAATCGATCGAATTCGATTATGAAAAAAAACCGCAGTGTTGATATATAAGCCGTGGCGGCGATACCGAGAAATATCTTGGCATCGAATTTAGTAAAGGATTATTATTATAGCGATTTCATTTGAGAAGTGATTTGTATTTATAACGATATCCTTTTTTGAAATAGTTATCGAAGTATTTTAAAAAGAATTTTTTTTTTTTAAAAAAAAAACGACTTTATTAATAAAACGACCTTATTAATAAAGCTGTTTTAATAATATGGACGGACGACTATAAAACGGTCTTAAGCTTAAAAACGATTAAAAAATTAAATTATTCTTGATTTATAACTAGTACTGATTTTGAACGGTCTTATAACCGTTTCTTTTTAAAAGAGGATCGGAAGACCATTCAAATGACCCTTTACTACCCTTTAAGGTAGGAACGAGTACCCCTAGCCAATTTGCCCACCTACATCGCCAAATCTTCCTTCCCGACATGCTTCCACCGTATCCCTCGAAGTCTAGCCAACCAGTTCACGATCTTATCAAAGGTCAGAAGCTCAGCGTTGACATCACAACCATCCTCCATGCCTCCCTTAAAAGCCGTAAGGGCACACCTCCCTCCCCCGAATACGTACGGTAGTTGTGCAGTCAGGTCCGCCACGGTAGGTACGCTACCGCAGCTCCCTACATACAGATCGGGCTTCTCGCTAGACACCGTCGCACCCATCGCAACCCCCCGTGCCGCCCTTCCAAGTCCCGTCCGGATACGGTACCGTCTCCTCGCCCGCCGACCTCGCTCGGAAAAGCATCCGCGCAAAGGCCTCGTCGCTACGCGCTTCTAGGGTACCGGTACTTGTATTTGTCTGGTGCTTCGAGCGAGCGAGCGAGCGCATGGTCTTTTGGGTTTCGCGAGGCGGTCGCGCCGTGGAGTTGCGCACTGTGGGCAGCGGCGGCGGCAGCAGCAGCAGCAGCAGCATCGCTAGGGAGAAATGTTTCTCTCGGAGGGGAGCGGAGCGGAGTAGGTGGGTAGGTAGGTAGATAGTTGATAAAAGCCTTTTACTTGTACGTACGTAGGCAAGGCGGTGAAGAGGGAGGGAGGGAGGGAGGGCCAAGGGGCCAAGGGAGGGATGGTTGAAATTCTGCCCGTGATTACCGATTGCAGTTTTGTTTGGTCGCGAGGGCAGGGGCTGATGACTTTCAGGCATTCGGTTAATGCTACTGTGGTGTGGTGTGGTGTGGTGACCACCCATGTAACTCTCAGAGATTATTGTTGTTGTTATTGTTGTTGTTGTTATATGTAATATGGCGGAATCTGACTGAAGGATCTTGGTCATGTGATTGATATCCGATACGGCTTTGGAGGCGTTGATGGCTGGCTGGCTGGCTGGCTGTAAGCCTGCTAAGTAAGGCCTTTGAAAGCGTACATGTACATGCCGACCAATTCTTCTTCTTCTTCTTCTTCTTCTTCTTCTTCTTCTTCTTAAAAAAAGACGATAAAGCGCCCATGTTCAGCAAACGTAGCAGACGATCGATCGATCGATCTAGACAGGCTCGCTGTACACACACACACACACACACACACACACACACACACACACTACCTACCGGTACCTACGTACCTATCTAACCCCTCGAACCGGAAGCCAAAACCCAGTCAGTCTCCTCGAATCGATAGATATCAGACCCCCTCATCGATCAGAACCGGCGGGCGCGCAGTACGGAGCCGTTTTTTTCGGACCCGGCTAAACCTGGGTTTGAAACCCGGGGCGAGCTTTCATAGCATGGATCCTGTGGGAATCTTTTTTTTTTTGTTTATGGCCTACCTACGTATTAAGTATCTAGCTACCTACCTACGTAGCACCGTGGATCTGTGGTCCCTTCCCCCCCTCGACACCTCTTGACACCTCTTGACATCTCTACTCCGTGGAGGAGGGGTTTTATTTCGCGGATCGGTCCCTTGTAGGTACTTCGTCCGCTAGAGCATCTTGCGTTTAGTGTAGTGTAGATGCTCCTGCGAATCTGCACCGGGGGCGACGTGGAGCTCCCTCGAGCGAAGATGGATGGATGGCTGGCTATATATATATATATATATATATTTCTGGTGGAGGAGTAAGTGAGTGAGTGAGTGTTGGCTCGGGCGTAGATGTGGCGGTTGTGATCTGTGATCCTGCTGTGCGCGTGATGGCGACGTGTAGGGATGTAAGCAAGTGGATTAAAGATATTCTCTCTTCGCTCTGGTCCTAGGCTACATGGTGTTGATGATCCGGTTCTGCTGGTGTCACCGCGCGTGTGGTGCGAGTCGGAGACGGTACGTATCTACTTCGTTTGTGTGGGTGTGTTTATTCAGTCTTGCATAAGGTACCTTCTAAGTAAGTGGGACCGTAGCTTACTTATATAAGTAGCTAGCTAGCTACTTGGGACACGAACGGAATTGCAAGCAGAGCAGCTACCAACGTACGTAAGTAGTATATGGCCTGACCTACCGTATGAAGTTCACTTTGACTCACCTGACTTGTTTAGCATGTTCCTCGCTTGACCGCTACTCTCGCCTAGCCCTATCAGCTAGTCAGGTAGGTAGGTACCGGGTAGGTAGGTGTCTGCAACCCCAAGCTCCCAGGGGTACCAGAGTACCAGAGTACCAGAGCTGCTGGGTTCAAAGTCGACGGCAGTCTCAGCTCCAACATGTTCATCCCTCTGGGCCTGGGATTCTGGCGCGGGAAAAACGGACCTTCCGACAGTAGTGGGAGTCTCGTAGCACTCTACTCGGTGGTCTCTCCCCTTTCGAGACGCGATACCGGCTGATTGATGGACCTACCGGTACGCTACCTCGCGTATCGAAGACCTCTCCCTCCATTCACGTCTCTGCGCCGGGGCGATCTCTCTCTCTCTCTGACTTCAGGACCTCGAAACCTGTAACCGTCCTGCGAAGCAGGCGTCGACGATAAGCGTCGGAAGCGGACTGCGGGAGGTCTGGAGAAATTCGGTGATCGCATCGCCGTCTCTAAACTTCTGAGTACAGCTACCTATCGGTGTCTTTCCTTACGAGAAAACACTAGCCATGCCATATCTCGGCTAATCACCACCACGCTATCGCTGGGATCGGCTGAGAAGTATGTAGTTGCGAACGAACATGTAGAAGCCACGTAAGTTGTCGATGGGATTTGCCTCGCGTCTCGTCTCTTTACAACCGCTCCATCGCCTCTACCGAGGTCGATGTCCTGACCCTTGGTAGATAGACGGATGGCAAGCTCTCTCGAGAACCTTGCCCAGCTTGTGATCCGTGGTTCTCCCCTCCTCCTGTCGACTTGTGTCAGTACCGTATCTCCCTGACCGACATCGATCTCCTTCCCCGCTGCAATGGGCAAGCTCTCGCCAACGCTGGAGGCCATTACGTTAAAAGGCACTGTGATCCATGGTCCTTCCCTCCTCACGTCGACTTACAGCATGAGCATCAGATCTCCTCGACCGAGGCAGATCTTCTTGCCGCAGGCTCGGATCACGAGAAGAAGAAAGAGTCAACCGGCTCATTGATTGGCTGTCTGGGACGCAAAATCCCCGAAGTGTTAGTTTTTTTTTTTTTTTTACGTCGACAAGTGATTTAGTACCGCCATGACTAGCATACCCACGCGAGCTCATCGTTGATGTACGGTACATGTACCTACCAGGTGCAGAAGTTGCGGCGTCAAGGCCAAGGCCAAGGCCCACTATTAGACAATGGAAGGGATCGTCTTGACTCCAAAGGTCTCCCGCCTAGCCGGGCTGGGCTGGGCTGGGCTGAAGCCGAACGTTCGCGTTGCAGTACCTTTTGACCAACCCTTTTTTTCCCTTTCCTTTCTTTTCTCTTCTTTCTTTTTTTTGTTGGTGGGGGGGGGGGGGGGTGGAGAATTGTTACTTTGCCCAGCTGTACGCGCGCTTGCCGATTGTAATGTGTGTATGGACGTGAATATGTACAGAGTGCGATCGAGGGCTCAGGTCGATCGGAACGGATGTAGTATGCTGGTTTTTGTCTGTCTGTCTGATTTTGAGATCTAGATCTAGCTGCAGCAGGATAAGAGGTGAGTGAGTACGTCAACGAGTGAGAGGGTGGCTGAGATTAACCTATTCCTTTTTTCTCCTGCTCATGTATGTATGTATCTATCGACCCTCAGGACGGATAGTCCAAAAACAAAAATCCATCATCTTGGTTTGATATGATGATGATGATGATGATAAACTCGATCTTGTAGGTAGATCTGATGCCAATACGCACTCCGTACTTATTGTGTATAAACACATACATATGTACCTGCCTGCGTTGCGCGCTTCCTCGTCTTGCTCGCTTATCTTGCTTGTATGATTATACGGATATAGGTAGCTGAACAGGTGCAGGGAGTAATGCAGTAGAAAAGAAAGATCCTCACGCGTGCATTACTTGCTACCCCGCAACTACCTCCCGGTACCTCTATTGCTTTCTATTCATGACTTTCTACTCATGACTGGACCTGAATATGCTCACAAACCTGGATCCCTGTGCTGCTCTGCTTGCTGCATGTGCGTGCACACCTGCATTGCATGCAGGTAAGCGCCGGCTGTTGCTGATGATCTGGTTTTGTTGATTCAATATCGCGTGAGATCATTCATGTGTATGGATAGGGATGTAGTGGGGGGTTATGCTGTTGTGCCGAATAGAAAAATAGATAATATCGATATGCAAGAGCTCTTGGAATACAGATTGTCTCTCCCTGTCGATCGGAGTTTGAGGGTGATGGTACTAAGAAGGATGAATCGTAGGAATGGAACTTTTGTGGTTCGAATTGATACAATCAAGAATGATCTACCTGTACGGTAGTATCTTACTAGGTCTCTTACGCATGAAATACGGGGGGAGATAGGGAGGGTACTTATCGTGCGAGCTATTTCTTGATAATGAGTGCCGCCCCCTAACCCCTCCTCCGGCCTGAGGCAGATTTGAAGAT